GAAATGGAGTCACAAGAAATTCACCAGGAAATTCAGGAATTGGATTGTTATGATGATGTTCCAGAAGATGGTGACATGATTGTCATTGAATAAATGAGTAAATTCTTGATACTGTAGGATTCACAGTTTGTCTGGTTTGTGTTGACAACTACCGTACTACTGTACCATATACAAGTAATAAATTTCCTTTATTTTCATTTAACAATAAATGTGTACTGTATTATTCTTAATGGAAAAATGAGACATCCCCTGAAAATAAGGCTCTAATGCATCTATTTTGCTCTTTGGGAGCAAAAATTAATATAAGACACTGTCTTATTTTAGGGGAAACAGGGTAGATTAAAAAAAGAAAACAAACAGAAATTTATTAACATGTATCCTCTCATTTACTGGGTTGGGCAAAAGTACGTTTACAGTTGTGAGTGTGAAACACAGAGTTTATTCTTGTAATATTATTATTATTATTATTATTATTATTTATTGTACCAGAGGCCTGGTACACAAAATTCATGCGGGGAGGGGGGGAGGGGGGACGAAGTAGGGTGGATGTCCCTCAGCCCAGCCTGCACTCTCTCCAATCTGGGACCCCTTGAGGGATGTCCGACTGCCTGTTTAGGCCCAATTGGGCAATTGGACATCCCTCTCACAACCAGGACTGCTGGCTCCCAACTGCTCGCCTGCCTGTCTTCCTGATTGCCCTTAACCACTTCTGCCTATCAGCCTGATCACCCCTTAACCACACCCATGCCAGCCTGATTGATGTCTAACTGGTCCCCTGCCAGCCTGATTGTCCCCAACTGCCCTCCCTTACAGGCCTGGTCCCTTCCAACTGCTCTCCCCTGCTGGCCATCTTGTGGTGGCCATCTTGTGTCCACATGGGGGCAGCCATCTTGTGTGTTGGAGTGATGATCAATCTGCATATTATTCTTTTATTAGATAGGATAGAGGCCTGGTGCATGGGTGGGGACCAGCTGGTTTGCCCTGAAGGGTGTCCCAGATCAGGGTGGGGGTTCCCTTGGGGCATGGGGCGGCCTGGGCAAGGGGCCTGTGGTGGTTTGCATGCTGGCCATGCCCCCAGCAATCCAAGCAGAGGCCCTAGTATCTGGGGTTTATTTATCTTATACGATTGAAACTTTGTAGCCTGGAGTGGAGCCAAGCCTCCTGCTTGCTCTGAGATGGTAGCCATTTCTTTATAGAACAAGTGTTAACATCATATTGGAAGAATAACATGTAGCATGGGAGATACTGTGGTGACCATCTTGAAATACACTATGCGACACACCCTGCCATTCATCTACAAGAACTGTCATATTTCTTTTACTTTCCCAAATCAAAATAAGTTTGTCTTGGCTTGCCTTGAGCCACCCCAGAGACAAGGTTTGGAAGAAAGTTCAAATCCACTCATATTCTTGCCTACCCTTAGAATTACACTGGAACTCTGAGTCATTGTACACACCAGAAATTTCAGGTAGTAAAGGTAAGGGAAAAGAGAGGTGACAATAAGGACTTCTGGGCTTTGGTATAATCAGATAAGTGGTTGAGAGAGAGAGAAACAGGCTTAGTTTATTTTGTTAGTGCATATGAGGCAAGAAAGAGAAAAGATTTTGACTGTTGACATTTTGATTTTGAGGTGTTATTGGGATCTACAATATGAGATGTCAATTGGACCATGGGTATAAGAGTGAAGAACTCAGAAATGTAGCCCAGCCCCAGCTTGTTTTCTCAGTGGTTAGAGCATCAGCCTGAGGACTAAAGGGTCTCATTCAGGTTCAATTCTGATCATTCTGGTTAAGGCTCTATTCCCGCCCCATTGGGGTGCAGGTGGGAGGCAACCAATTAATCAGTCTCACATCAATGGTTCAGTCTCTCTAAAAACAAATCAATTGAAAAAATATCCTCCAGTGAGGATTAACAAACAAACAAACAAACAAACAAACAAACAAACAGAAAATGTAGCCTGAGCTGGAGATACACATTTGTGAGCTATCTGTGTGGGTGGTATTAAAAATATGCACAAGTGAATGGGATTGCCTAGAACGGGAACATTTGGAGATAAAAGGAGAGAGGGTCTAGGTGGCCTTGAGGAACCTCAACATTAGTGAAGACCAGGCTTGTAAAAGAGACTGGACTGACTAGAGATCGTGGAGAAAAAGGAGGACAGTGTGCTATCACCTCAAAGAGTGTTTCTAGAAGTTTTCAGCAGTAAAGGAACAAGGAACTGAAAAATAGCAATCACCCTAACAACACAGTCATTATTAATCTTAGTGCTTTGTTTTTGCTGCAGGAGAAATGGTTTAAAAGGTGAGTGGAGAGTGGTAAAGTAGAAACATAGTGAGAAAGATCATTAAAACTGAGGGACTATTTTGGGAGGAAGCTGTGAGAACTGAGAGGTTAGTTGATGGTGTAAGGATTCTCAGAAGGTGGGAGGGAAGGTGAGTTCTACCGGTAAAGGGCTTGTTTAAATGGCAAGATCCAGTCCTCTGTTGAAACAGGAAGGAAGGAAGAGAGTGTGAGGATTACAGACTTACATAGATTTACAAGTTTGGTATGGAGAGATTGGCTTCTATTTTCTCTGTAACAAAAGAGGAGAGGTTAACTGTATCTCCGAATATTAGCAATAACGGTGCCTTGTAAGCAACTTGTTTTGTATGTGGGTGGATGCCTTAACTCCCCAACTGTTCCACAGGTAGCTAAATTACCTATATCCCTGTGCACAGCGGTGAGAACAGAAACAATAGGTGCTTAATAAATACTCGATTTATTTTTATTCTAATGATGATAAGTAATTATGCCCTTAGGTCAAGGAAAAGGATAAGTTCTAATCAGGCCCCTCTAACAAGCATCTGACAAGTGTTGAGGGATGAGATTCGCAAAAGGCAAATGACAGCCCAAGAGAAGGACCCCCGCCAGCTCCCTCCTTTCCGCCCGGGGCCCTAAGAGTTAAGAACAACGAGAGCTGGTGCCGTTGTTTCCTAGAGAGGCCCCGAAACGCCGCCGGCTCCTCCTCGCTCCCATCTAGCGGTTTGCGAGTTTAGGACCCTGGGTTGGTGGGGTCAGGAGAGGGGCTCCTTTCTCCCGGACTTCGGGGCTGCGGGGGGTGCAGGGCGCCTACTGTGTAGCCGCAGAACAGTGAGTTCCTTGCGGGGGCGGGGGGTGGGTGAAGGGAGCAGAGGACCGCGGGCAGGAGTGGAAGGTGCACCGCGGGTCCCGCTGCCCGCGCCAGGCCCTCTGCGCCTCTCGCCCGCGGGGTCCCATAGACACTGGTCAGCGGGTGACGCTCTGGTCTCCTGGAACCTCACCTCGCAGGGCACCCCAGCGCATGGTCCAGGCAAGGGTTCTTCATTAGCCAAGCTTGGGCCAGTGCACTCAGGCCCCATCCTAATGCCCTATTTGGACGCTGGCAGGGAAGACTGGCCTGCTCTATCTAGTGACACCGTTAAAGACAGCCTTTTAATACCATTTATGGCTTTGAGTGTGCTGCCCTTTGAGGGAGCCAGGGCACCTGAGGATCCCTCTACTGTCAAAAGTGAGAGTTTCTTAGCAGGAGAAACGCTGGCACGGGGGTTTGTGTTACCCAGGCTCTCACTTCCTTTATAAGGACTTTGATAGAAATATGTAGTAACCTAGAAAGCAAAACATACTACTCCATGTGAACCTTTTCTTTTTTTTCCTATTCAGCTTTCATTCCCCCACTCAAACACGGGATATTTATAATTGAGACTGGTTGCACCTTTTCTTATAACACATCCCCAATTGCTCAGGATGCTTAGGGAATTCCAGCTCCATTGGTATAAGGTCTAGGGATGTTCATCCGTTCTCATCCAGTGAATGCATTCTAAATAAAGGCCTTCTTTGAGGCTCATTTGCAGTTTGGGGTTATGCACAGCTCTCTGATTCGTTCTAGTTTACTGTAATAATAGCTGAGTGTGTGAGTCAGTGTCCAGACTTGGGACTGAATATGCTCTCCCACTCTCAGATTGTGTGGCCTTGGGAAAATTTCTTGATGTCTTTTTTAACTCATCTACAAAATGTTGGTAATCGTCTATATGTCTGAGGGTTATGAGAATTAAGTGGGAAATAGTATGTGTAAGTTATTCAGTTTACTTCACTAGTAGTAAACGTTTTCTCCTTTTTCATATGCACACCTTTGTATACCTTTCTTTTAGGCTTTCATTTTCTCCAAGTTATGTATTCTTTACATATTATTAACTTGGATGCCAAGTTCATAAGTTCATATATAACTGCCTTCTAGTGATAGATCACATTTTTTGGTCCCTTAAAGTAGGTCAGGGATTGTATTTGGCTGCAGAAGATAAAGTTGAGGTTGAAATGGATATTGGGATTATGATAGACTTAGAGGCAAGAAAGAGGTCTCTCATTAGCTTTCTTTTTAATAGTTAGTGGTTATTGTTTAAAATTATCCTAGCCCTGCTTTGCACTAATTTCTTGTTACTGGTTAAAGAAGTCCTAACTTTCTTTTGAAATTGACTTAAAAGGTTACAGTCTCTGTCAAGGACCAAGTTATTCTTTCTTAACTAAACAGGGTTCTTTCTCTTTAGCGGCTTCTTATACCTGCATATTGATTCTTGAAGTCTTATTATTGGTTCCTTTCCCCTGCCCCAATACAAAACAAAAACTTTGTTTTTTAATTAAAAGTGTTTCTAAGCTCTGAATGGACAATTAGTATTGTATTAATTCTATTTTTAAAGCCTAATCTTCATATTTTAATGTGAAAATTTAATTTAAAAATTATTTCCTTAGAAAAGATATTAACTGTTAATTCTAATCACTTGCATATGAGAAAGGATTTTCTAAAAGGACTTCTAAAGATCATATTTCTTATTTTCAGTGTTAGCAGACCATTCTATGCCTACAATTGTTATGTTATAATGACTGGGAAGGAAGGAAGGAAGGAAGAATAAATTTTAACAAATACCTCCACACATGACCTGTTTCCTCCCACAGGATTTCTGACTGCGAACCTGGTGGTGATCACTGTGATGGAGCAAGAGAAAAACTTGTTGGTCTCAGATTCTAAATGCTTCACCAAAAGGATGAGTTTGCAAAGCTCTTTTACAGGTGAGGAATCAAGAAGATGATATGAATACTTTGGAAATGCATTATAAGATGTGCTATAGAGTGTGTAGAGAGAATAGGGCATTAGATGAGACAAACTTTGTGTTAACTTACAGCCTTAGTTTTCTCTATAAGAAAAAGAAATGTCATATATATATATATATATATATATATATATATATATATATATATAATGAGATACTATATGCAAGGGTGCTGTTTTTAGTAAATTAACATTCATACCTTAGAGAAACTATAGTTTCAGTTCCATATCACAATAAAGCAAACATCTCAATAAAGCAAATCATAATCTAGTGCAGGTGTTTGCTGTCAATTTGAAAAAAATGCAACATCTGTGAAATATAGTAAAGCTAAACACATTAAAATGAGGTATGCCTATAGTATGTGTAGTGGCTATCACAGTTAATACTCAGATATTGTCTTGTTTTCACCTCAGATGGTGTCCTATTCAGTTTCTTCTCTACTCAGATCCCATTTTTTCTTTTAGGCCTTTAAGAATAAAACTAGTAAATTTATTTTTAATACATATCTTGGCAATTGCTGACAACTGTTCAAATACTTGATTAGTGTTGTTACTAAATATAAAAATTTTATTTGCTTCTGATGTTAAGTAAAACTAGCTTTAAAAATATTTTTTAAATAAAATAATTTAGAAAGTTTTTGTTATTTCCTCTTTTCAATTGCAATTCAGAATTACCCAGTCAGAGATTAGGAACTATTTAAAATATTTGTTTATTTTTGCAGGAGATGAAAGTAAGAATAATTTAGAAACTACTCAACACAATAACCATAAGGCAGATAAAGAGAGACCCTCAAAATGGTCTAAAAGAGATGGCCTGCAAAATTGTAAGCATGAGGATACAAAAGAAATACCACTGACAGGGTCCCAAGGAGATGAAACTCAGTGTAATAGTTTCTATGGGAATAATGGCAAGTCAGAGAATCGCAAAAATTCTACAGGAAAAGAGGAAGAAAAACCCAATGATGGGGGATGGGACCCAGGAGAACACGCCAGTGCCTCTGTCCAGCAGAATTCATTCTTCAGAGACAAACCCTACAAATGTTCTGAATGTTGGAAAAGTTTCAATAACAGTTCTCATTTGCGTGCTCACCAACGGACCCATTCAGGAGAGAAACCTTATAAATGCTCTGAGTGTGGGAAATGCTTCAGTAACAGCTCTCACCTGATTCAACATCTGAGAACACACACAGGAGAGAAGCCTTACCAGTGTGGAGAATGTGGGAAAAGCTTCAGCAATACTTCCCATCTTATTATCCATGAGAGGACTCACACAGGAGAGAAACCCTATAAATGTCCTGAGTGTGGTAAGAGTTTCAGCAGCAGCTCTCACCTGATTCAGCATCACAGGTTACACACTGGTGAAAAACCATATGAATGTGCTGTTTGTGGGAAATGCTTCAGCCACAGTTACGTCCTAATAGAACATCAAAGGACTCATACCGGAGAAAAACCTTATCAATGCCCTGACTGTGGGAAGGGTTTTAGTCAGAGTTCCAGCCTGATTCGCCACCAGCGGACACATACAGGTGAGAAGCCCTACAAATGTAATGAGTGTGGAAAAAGCTTTGGTTGTAATTCTACTCTAATAAAGCATCAAAGAATACATACAAAAGAAAAACCCTACCGGTGTACAGAATGTGGGAAGAATTTCAGTCGAAGTTCAAACCTTATTGCACATCAGAAAACACACACAGGAGAAAAACCCTATGAAAATTCAGATTGTGAAGAAAGTTTGAGTCAGAACTGCAGTGTGATAGAAGAATGTCGGACCCATTCAGGAGAGAAGCCATATAAATGTTGTGAATGTGGAAAGAGTTTTGGTCTCAGCTCCCATCTCATCAGACATCAGAGGACACATACGGGAGAAAAACCTTACAGGTGTTCTGAGTGCTGGAAAACTTTTAGTCAGAGTTCCACCCTGGTGATTCACCAAAGGACACACACAGGAGAGAAACCTTATAAATGTCCTGATTGCAATGAGTGCTTTAGTCAAAGCTTTAACCTTATCAGGCACCGGAGGACTCACATAGGAGAAAAACCTTACAAATGTACCGACTGTGAAAAATGCTTCAGCAGAAGTGCCTACCTCAGTCAGCATCGGAAAATTCACATACAAAAATCTTTTCAGTCTCCTGAGGTTGAAGGTTTTCCTCCTGAATGGACTTGGAAAGACTGTTCAGGGGAACTGGCCATCATCTCATCATTTTCAGTCCCAAATTCATCTTCCTCTTAAGTTCCAAAGTCATTTTTCTTTTCGGGACATTAAGGTGTTCTCTGATTATTGCACTACAAAGTGAAAAGTGTCCAGCAAGGCCAGGGGTAAATCTGAGGAGGGGCGGTGAAGCATTAAAAAAGACAGACAAAAGAATACAGTTGGGACCAGGTGGATCACTGCCTGGATGAGGAAACAGTGACACAGCCTATAAGTCGAAGCTTTATTTTATAGTCAGATCACACAAAGCAAAACAAGGGGAGTGGTCGGCATGTTTACATGTTCTTTCGAGTTTCAAATCTATTTTGTTACTCAAGCCTTGTTTTGGCAGCACTTATTGCACCTCCCACAGCCCATTAGCTACTTAGGAACAAGGGAGGACTATAAGGCCAAGCTTAATTGTGCTAGGAGGGCTCTGCCCTCCAAGCTGGGACTTGTATGTGGCTCTGCCACAGGTCAGTCTGAAGCCTGATCCTAGAGCCGCTTCCTACACAAAGTCTCTTTGGTTTGTTTGCCAAAACATCTAGAAAAGGTCAACTTCTTGGTTAAGAAAATGGGAAGATCTAGATCACTAACTAGGTCATTGAATCTGCCCAGTGAGAGATACTGCCATGGATGGAGAAAAAGAAGAAATTAGTTTTGATGTAAGGTAAGATAGGTAGAGCTTTAAAAGAAAAGCTAAAGTGTGCCCTGGCTGGTTCGGCTCAGTGGATACAGCATCAGCATGCAGACTGAAGGGTCCCAGGTTTGATTCCGGTCAAGGGCACATGCCTGGATTGCAGGCTTGATCCCCAATAGGGATTGTGCAGGAGGTAGCCAATTAGTGATTTTCATCATTGATATTTCTCTCTATTTCTATTCCTCTCTGAAATCAATAAAAAAATATATTAGAAAAAAAAGAAAAAGAAAACCTAAAGTGTAACCCTGGGAGTAAGCAAAATGACACCTGAGAGCCTGGAGCCAAGATGCCTATTGAATTACCTTATTTTCTCTTTCCTGATTGGATGGCAATAAATCATTACTAGTCTCAGGGATTTACCCAGAGAAAGATTTTTTTGAACAAATAATCTGATTTCCTGGTTGTTCTTTGGGTCTTAAGGAAAAAAAAGACTCATTTTAAAAAATGCATTTTCAATTGCTGAACATTAACTTCTGTAGTTTTAGAACTGCACTAATATAATAGCCACCAGCTGCATTTGTCTATTTAAATTTATATAATTAAGATGAAATGAAATTTTAAATCCTGTTCCTTTGTCACACTGGCTAGTTGGATCATCTTGAAGTTGGCCTCAAACTCCTGGGTGTCCTTAAGATCCAGTAAAATGGCTCAATCCTTTTGTTATTGTTTATCCTGTGAACATGAAGGGCTTGACTAAGAGTGAGTAGGCTGACAATGTAGCACATCAGTATTGTAATATGGCAGGCATTTGGGCAACTGCTGTCTTTTCTGTTGGCAAATTACCCTTCCTGTTATTCCCGTATCTCTTTCATTTTGTGTTTGTTCTCTTTTATCTCTTTGACCCTAACCTCCTCTGCCTTGTTCAACTATATTCTAACCCCAAATTAGGTGTTTGTTTTTTTTCCCCTATCATTTATTTTGTTTCCTTTCCTCCCCTCTCCCATCTTTTCCTCCCAGTGAACTAGGAATCAAGTCAAGGCTATGGATGGTTCAAATGCTTAGTTATAAAAGATACAGGATTCTTTGCAATCATTACATAATGGTAATGTGGCCACTTATAAGCAGAGGTAATTTGTGGGTGCTAAGACAGCTAAGTTTCTGGTTTAACATTGCTTGACTGGTAAAAGCAACAAATAACACAATGCGGGTTGAAGTGGATGCTTTAGTTGAAAAAAGGGACAGGATTAAAATTTTGAGCCATGAATAAATGGTCAGATTAAAAACGTATTAGTTGATTAGACAAATACAGGTGGAAGATTTTCTCTTAAAATAGTTTACTTTCTGATCATTAAAGTCAGAGTTGCTAAAATATACAAAGAAGTATAAAGAAGAAAACATATAGAAGTATGAAGACCAAAATAAAAATCACCTCAAATCATTTTCCTTTGAGATCATTTACCATGAAAGTTCCGGGATCTTTCCCAATAACCACTTTTCTAATATATTACTGAATGTTACACACACAACTTGTTATATGTTATTATCTTTTTTCCTAATTCACATCATTTTTCAATTTACTTGTTTTAAATTATTATATGGTTTTTCTTATTTCCTAAATACTGCACTGAATGATGTACCATAACAATTTAATTGTTTGATGTTAGATGTTTATATTGTTTCCAGTTGTTTGCTATTAAAAATAACACTACAGTTGGCTGGGAGCGGCCAGGCCCGGGGGAGCAGGCGGGGCTGGTGCGGCCAGGCCCGGAGCAGCGGCTGCCAAGCTGGGAGCGGCCAGGCCCGGGGGAGCAGGCGGGTCAGGTGCGGCCAGGCCCGGAGCAGCGGCTGCCAGGCTGGGAGCGGCCAGGCCCGGAGCAGCAGCAGCCAAGTCCAGAGCAACTAGGTCGGGAGCGGCGGTGACCAGACCCGGAGCAGCTGGTTGTGGAATGAACCAGAGCAACAGAGGCCAGGCCCTGAGCAGCCAGGCCCAGAACAGCTCGCTCCTTGCCTGCCCCTGCCCCACGGCTGCTTCTCAGACATGGCTGGAAACTTTCGTGGGAACTTGAGGGTCTGCTGAATCAAGTGATGAAGGCTTAGATCTGGATGTGTTGAGTTAGTTTAGGACTGGGGTATTGATCTGTGAGTGCCTTGGGTGGGGCCTGGATGAGGCTGGTTGACCTAGTGGGAAATGTCTTTTGTGTGAAGTGTATCATTGGGCATGTGGAGGTATTATTGATATGAGAAAATGCTAAGTAACTGATTTACTATCTGAAAAGGGATTTACTATTGGGGAAATTGAGGGAAGAAGAGACTGAACATAAACTGCACCTATGGATGAGGACAATGGGGGATGGGGGGGGGGGACACGGAGGGTGGGGTGGGAACCTGGTGGAGGGGGGAAGAAATGAGGAACCTTTGTAATAATATGAACAATAAAGATTGATTTAAAAAAAAAAAAAAAAAAAAAAAAAATAAAATAAAATAAAAATAACACTACAGTGAACAGGGTTTGTTTGTCTTTTGGTTGTTTTGTTTTGTTTTGGTATGGTGGTTGTGATTGCTTCTGCTTTTTTGCTTTGTGTTGTTACACAAATCTTAGTGTACATCTCTATTCCCATAGAGTGAATTCCTAAAAATGAGGTTATTGAGTCAAAAGGCATGAAAGTTTTAAAGGCGTATTACTTAATTACTTTCCAGAAATGTTTATCAATTTAAATTACTTCAGTGAAATAATTTTGTTATAAACCTTTTGGAGAGGGTGGGAGAGAAAAAACATATAATGTTTGAAACCTCTTTTAAGGCAGCTTGTTTGGACAATCTTCCCCCAGCCTATTTTCTTGGACAGTACTGGGCACAATTCCAGTAAATGTCACCAGAAGCTTCTCTAAGAACTAGAGAAGTGATCTGAGGCTGAAAGGGCAGGACAGGACCAACTGCATTTTTTTTTTTAAATTATATTATTGATTTTACACAGAGATAAATTGAGAGGGATAGAGAGTTAGAAACGTTGATGAGAGAAACATCAACCAGCTGTCTCCTGCACAACCCCCACTGGGGATGTGCCCGCAACCAAGGTACTTGCCCTTGACCGGAATCGTACCCTGGCCCTTTCAGTCCACAGTCCGATGCTCTATCCACTGAGCCAAACCGGTTTCGGATCCATTTTGTTTTGTATCCTCCATCTTGTGTAACCATGTCTCCAACATGACCCCTTTCTGAGAAAAACCACAAGAATGTTCCAGTTACTTAACCCACCCTTATGAATGCAGAGGGAAGTATCCTGCCATCTGCGCAACTGGACCCTAGCCCTCACCCAACCAATCGGAACCAGCCAACTCAGTGGTCCGAGCATCACCCTACTACCCAACCCTATAAAATTGCTGTACTTTTGGAACTTGGGGCTCTCTGCATCTTTTTTTTTTTTTTTTTTTTTTTTTTTAAATATATTTTATTGATTTTGTACAGAGAGTAAGGGAGAGATAGAGAGTTAGAAACATCGATGAGAGAGAGTCATCGATCAGCTGCCTCCTGCACACCCCCTACTGGGGATATGCCCGCAACCAAGATACATGCCCTTGACCGGAATCGAACCCGGGACCTTTCAGTCCCCAAGCCGACGCTCTATCCATTGAGCCAAACCGGTTTCGGCTCTCTGCATCTTGAGGCTGCGTCGGTAGGGGCAGAGAGCCCGGGCTCGAGTTTGAATAAAAGGTTCTTTGTTTTTGCATGGGACTCGGCTCCCTGGTGGTCTTTGGGGATCTCGAAATCTGGGCATAACAAGGCCAAAGGCCAGAAGTACTAAGAGGAAGAACAGTTGAGGAAAGTTGTTGGGGGGGGGGGTCATAGATGCCCAGAAAAGTGTTCTGACACGTGATTATTTTAGTAGCAGATACAACATAATATTTGGGGTGAAAATGATGACTGGTGCCATATTTCCTTAAATTCAGCAGTGTCTGGGGCAGGACTGCAAGGAAGACATATGCCTCTCTCCCTAGAGAGTGATTGACTTTTGGCTTGTCCAAGGTCACAGAACTGGTTATGGCAGCCCGAATTTAAGTCTCCTGATTCCAGTTACCCAGCTTTCCTACCCTACTACTGTCATTCATCGTTCATTCATTTGTTAACTACATTCTTATAGAGCAGTGTTTCCCAAAGTGTGGTACGTGTACCCCCAGGGGTACAGGAAGAGTTTGGGGGGGTGGTACACGTTGCACTGGAGTTTGGTGGGGATATGCACTGCACCGTGGTTAGCTGCGCCTAATTCTACATTCTCATGGGTACGAGGGGTACTCAGCGTTATGAAAATTATAGAAAGGGTACACATATGTCAAAAGTTTGGAAACACTGTTATAGAGGATAAATTAAGTTCAAAGCATTGTGGTAGATATTGTGGATGATTCTGAGCTGGGAACAATAAGGTATGAATAAACCATTATGTGACTTGGTGAGGGTCAGTGGAGACTTGGTGGACAAGGTGACTATTCAGCTGTGCTCCAAACAGCAGAAAAGATTTGTACATGAGTCATAGGGTTTAAGGTTGGTAGTTCAGGGTGAGCTAAATTTAGGGCTCACTAAATTCTAGGGTAATTTCATCATTTTATAACAAGGGCCATCTCTCACCCTGACTCTTGCACACTTTTGTTGTTCCCATTAGTACGCTTGTCCTGAACAAATTCATGTTTAACTCCCCCAGAGACCTTACTGAGTCCCTCCTGGCCAGTGAAGGACTGTCTCCTGTTTCCATGGTTCCTGGTTCACCCACTCTCTCAGGCACTATGACACACCTCTCTTTGTTTTACTTCTTTGCCCCTGTTGTGTATTCGTTTGTTATGATTTCAAATGAACTTGTTTATGACTTAAGTGAAGTTGCTTTGACCCCTGGGTGAATTGGTTTAAATCAGGGGTGCGGAAAGTTCGACCCACTCTTGGACCATATAAGACCCCTGAAATTATTTATTCTGGTCTTGCCAAGGTATTAGGGTTTAGTTAATTAAACGTTTGACCAAATATAGCAGGCTGATTTTTAAGTTGATAACTCTGTATGGCCTGCAAATGATGTTATAAATATCCAAATGGTGCTTGGTAGAAAAAAGGTTTCCCACTTCTGGTTTCAATTACGGAAGCTGTGCCAGGATGTCCTTGACACCTGCTGATGGGCATCACTGGAACCTTATCTATAAGAACCTGTGGAGAAAAACATGTGATACTGTTTCCTTGTGGTTTAAGACAACGTAAATTTATTAACTTACAGTTCTAGAGGGCCAGAAGTCCAAAACGGGCTAAAATCAACAGAGATGCTTTCCTCGGGAGACTCTCGGGAACTCTTTTCAAACTTGAAGAGGCCTCATGCGTTCCTTGGCTCCTGGCCCTCTTCCTGTAACTTCAAAGCCAGCATGGTTAGGTCACATTTTTCTCCTGGGGCAATCTCTCTGGTCCTCATCTTCTAAGTCTTTCTTTCCCTTGTAAGGACCCTTATGACTACACAGGGCCTCTCAGATAACTCCAAATGTGACAGATATTTAAACTTGAAATACCAAGAACTTAGGAGGATTTATTGAATGTGTTTGGTTTGGACAAAGCTTCTATTTGCTGAACTAGCTAAATAGCTCTCCAGAAATCTCGAGACACTTGGTCCAGGTTGCGGTCAGGCTACCCTGGGTTGGCAGTGACAGTGGCGATAAACTGTGCAGCAGCAGCATCAGGGAGAGGTGTATGCCATGTACCGGTCCCTGGAATTACCTTAGGAGCATCCCACCTTGCCTGCCAACCGGTGCCATCGCCCGCTAGCTATAGGCCCCGGCTCTGCGAGGGACCTAAGCTGGCAGTTGGCAGGAAGAACTGACTCTACCAAGAACAAACTTGGAGAAAAGTTATTATTTCGCTAAATCTGGACTCTCATCTCCCCTTTGCCTGGTACGGTAGTGAAATCTGCCATTGGTTTGTAATGTTATCCATTTAAAAGACGGTATCCTATAGGACACTGTCTTGTGAAATGTTACTATTATACATGACAATCCCCACAGTGAACCTGTGGTAAATAAATATCTGGAAAAGACAATCTCAGTCTCTGAACCTAACCTGCCTCCTCCCCAGGTCTTTGATTTTGACAGGATGGGGGTAGGCACAGCAGTGTTCCTTTAGTCTGACACAGTGACAAGTCTTAGCTGACAGTTTGTGGTGAAGGAAGGGAACACCTGGCACAGCCTCTCTCCTTCAGAAAAACGCCTGCCTACTTGCTCTTCCATATCCGCCTCGAAAGTCTCGTCCTCCAGCCCTTCCTGCTGCCTACACATACGTGGCACAGGCCCAAAAAGTTGTATCGATCCATGTCCACAACCCCGGGGCCGGCAGGCTAGGAAGCGTTTAACAATAAATGCTCACGGAATGAATGGGAACGTCCCGGCTTTAGGCGGGAGAGCTCCAGGCAGGGATTTCCTCCGAAAACGACTCCACCTTCCCCGGGATAGGACGTGAGCGGCTGGAGCCTGAGGGCGGTACACGGACCAGGGTGGGGGGAACCCTGGGCCGAGCCCCGCCTCCTGACCGGGTCCATGGCCGGGTCTTCCCCACCGCCCACCGCCCAGCCGTGATACCCACGCCCCCACTCCACACCACGCAACATCGCCCTAGCGCCTCTCGGGGCGCACCCGCGAGGGCCGCGCCGCCCGCGATTGGCCACACGCGGCATAGCGCCACCTCGGCCTACCGCGCGCGCGCGCCCTCATTGGACGGCGGCGGCGGCGGGCGGGGCCTGCGCGGAGGGCGCGCTGGGCGGGGCGGGCCCGCTCCCCGGAGCCCCGCCCCCTGGTCCCTCGCGTGGGTCGGGATCTCGGGCCGCCGGGTGCGCCGGGCTCGGCGACAGGCGCGGGGCGCGCGGCGGTTGCTCTGGTGACGGCGCTCGCGCCGCGCGGGGGATGCTGGAGGGGACGCCGTAGGGAGTCGCCGCCGCCGCCTGGCGACCTGTATTCACTCGCGGAGACACGAGGTGGCGGCCTGGAAGGTTCGGAGGATCGGCGCCGCAGTGGAGGAGAAAGCGTCCAGGTAGGGGCCGCGCCCCTTTCCCGGGCGCCGCTGCCCGGAGCCCGAGTCCGCCTGTGGGGGGCGGCCCTGCCCGTAGGCTCCGCTCGGCCGCGGGCCGTGCGGGGCACCACCCCGGGGAGGGTCGACCGGGGGAGGGGAGAAGGGGCGGGTCGAGGACCCCGATTCCGCGCTCGCCCCGCCCTCGCCGGCGGAAGAGGCGAGGACGCCTTTTTCTCGGCGCCGATATATTTGTTTTTTTTCCCTCCATCTTTTTCTCCTAGGGCACCTGCTGCCGTTGCGAGAGCGTTTCACAGCACGATGAGCCCACCTCAGGATTAAAACCGTCCTCAGCCACCCTCAGGGAAACCCATCTCACAAAGGAAAGGAGGAATGATACATGGATGGCCCCCAAGAGCAGAGCGTCTGACCCGGCAGCCGTGGGAGCCTGCTACGTCCCACCTTCCCCGTCCAGATCCTTTTATACTCACTCTAGGATTTTTTCTAAATTAGTCCGATTTGAATGGTGATCCTGTGAGGAGGACGGTGTACCTGGAAGTTGGTCCGGTTCCCGGTGCTCCTTTTGGGAACACATTTTGGGGAGAATCTCGAACCATCCAAACCCTTACAAAGGACAGAAAAGGATCCCAACGTCGACCGGTGCCACCAAAGGGGCCTTTTGCACCATGTGGGCTTTCCTCGGCCTCGCCACCTTCACGTATTTCTACAAGAAATGCGGGGACTTGGTCACCGTGGCCAACAAGGAGCTGCTGCTGTGCGTGCTGGTGTTCCTGTCGCTGGGCCTGGTGCTGTCCTACCGCTGCCGCTCCCGCGGCGGGGCGCCCCCGCGGCGCCAGCGCCAGCACCGGGGCGCCCAGCTCGCCGTCTTCTCCGACGTCCTGGCCGCCCTGCCTCTCGTCGGCTTCTTCTGGGCCAAATCCCCGCCCGGGGCAGAAAATAAAGAGCAGCTCGCGGCCAGGAAGGTAGGTTGAATTCAAAGTGGTCCAATGAATTGAGTGTCTTATTTTAAAATCAGGATTGGGGTCACTCACATGTCCATTTTCTCTAAAGGGCGAAGGATTGCAGCTTAGATATGAACGCTCAGGTATGAATGCTCATGCACTTATTTGTTTTTCTTTGGTTTGTTTCAAAAAAGCTTTTGGCTGCTCCTTGGCACTCTTAGAAACATTTATTACATTTAGTATTTGGTCGAGCCAAGACTCACTGGGATTATTTTGTTATGAATGTTGATTTGATTATGAATATCGATTTGACGTGGAAGGTTGGAATTGTTTTGAAGAAGGACAGAATCACTTTCTGTGATTGGAAAAAGGAATGTTTTATTTAAATCCTTGGGTGAGGATGGTATTTGTACCTAGAAGAAGGACACCTGCTGCAGGTAAGTTCTCCCAGCTGTCCAGAAGTGACAGCTGGCTGGGCAGAAGACAAGTCAGTGCTCAGCATTTTGCACCTACAGCAGAATGCCCTCCTCTTTCCACATGACTGGGCCTTGAGGCCATCAGGTGCCTTGGGGAGCAATGTCCACAGGGCAGCCGTGTTTCCAAACCAAAGACTGGGCTTCAGATACAGGTGAAGTTAGGATCCTTGCGAAAGCAGCGGAGGAGGACAGCGGTGGAGATGATGTTTGTTAAGCCAGAACACTTAGGCCCATTGGCCATTGGTGTTGGACTTCTTCCCAAGAGCACTGGAGGATTTTAAGCTTGGGAGTAACTGTTTGACTTACTTTTAAAAAAGAGCATTCCAATTAATTGCTGTGTGAGGACTAGATTGTAGGGAGACCGGAATGGAAGCCAGGATTTCTGGTCAGAGACTCTAGTGGTAGACCAGGTGAGGTGGACATAGGGGAAGAGGCCCGCAGAGTCAGGGTTCTGGATCTGCATTGGCTTTACATCTGGAGTACAGGTCAGCAAGCCTACAGAAGGCAGGGACTTGGTTTAGAAGTTTTGTTCTGCTACTTGAGGCTGTGAGACCTTTGGCAAATGGCTTAGTTTCCGCAAGACTGTTTCTTCTGTTAGGTTAGATGGGGACAACAGCAGCCTTACTGGTAGTTAGGGAATTAAATGATTTAATGCTTGGTCCCTAACTGTCTAATAGTAGTTATTAATGTTAGTCTAAAGGTAGGATGCATCTGTTAGGAGCCTTTTGAGTAGTGGGTTGGTGGGTGCAGGCTGGAGGAATGGGAGAGGAGGGAGGGGAAAACTTTGATTCTCAGGTTGAAATCTTAGGTATTGTTTTCTGAGATAAGGTTCTCAGGGTCCTTGAAGGATTGGAGTCACATCATGCTGTGTAGACAAATCTTGGGTTAGCTGCAATCTACAGTGGTTCCACTCTGAATGCCTCAGGCTCTCTGCTTTTTATAAAGTACTAGGTTCCCTTTAGTGCTGCTTCTCCTGACTGGGTTCTGACTTCCTCCAGTGTTCCATTCCACCAGGATTGTGTGTGTGTGTATGTAACCGGGAAAACCTCAAGAAAAACTAATTAAAAATGGCATAAGATGACAAAAGGAGCTCTTGCTCTCAGAACAATAATTTATATATAGTTAATTATTCTGGCCAGTAAGAAATGCTATACTGATGGGAAGAGTCATCTTGGCTTCTCTTGGTAAAGGACAGAAAGTTAATTTTCCTAAAAGAAATGATAAAAAGTGGAATGGACAAGGCCTCAGTCGATTATGGAGATATAGAAAAGCTAGGTGAATATTACAATCAGAGAGAATTAAAGTTTTGGGGGTTTTTTTTTTGGTTTATTTCCTTCCTTTCTGCCTGGAGGTTTCTTTTATTAAAAACACATCAAAGTGACAATTAGTCTTATTTTAATCCTTAAGGTCAGAGAACTCAAGAAAGATGGTTCCTTGCAATCTTTTACCTGAAATGAAATGCCATATTGGTTAATCCATTTGCCAATATGGATCAAGAAAAAATTACTATTACAACATTGAATTTTTCATAAAAAATCCCATACAGTCACTGTTATTCTCAGGGGGCATAAATCTCTCAAAACAGGACTTTTTCATCTTCATATGTTCAAAGTTCAAAGTTTTTACTGTCGGCCCAATTAGTGATAGGTTTAATGTTTGTCCTTATTAGTAAATTAGTAAATTAGTAATGTCAACTTGATTGACATTACTGACCAGGTCCTCCTAGAAAATCAGAGTTAAAATTAAGGGGTAAATTACACATGTTCTTATATATCAAAGACTAAAATTGTGAACAGCTCAAGTTTCAAGGGTCAATGAGTTATTTTGTTCTTTTTGGAATTTTGTAGAGTTAAATAATTCTCAATTAGTAGATGAGTAGGCAAAATCTGACAATTTGTTACATAGAAGTGATTTTAGATTGAGGTAGATTTTTTAGATGACAGCATAGAAGGAGAAAATAAAAGCGAATAGTGGCAATATGAAAAAGGTGCTGAACAGTTTGCAATATAAAGTCAAACTAGAAGTTGTATGTGACTTGCATTTGGCAGATGCTCAGACTATGTTTGTAAAATAGAGTAATTAATGGTAGAATTGTCCCTATAATAAGCCTTTGAAGACCCTTATAAACATTTTTTTTATATTTCGCCTGGTGTGAAATTCTAAATATATCTGTAATCACAGCATTTTCTAAAAGGAATGTACACTCAATGTTATTGGATGTTATACATTTTTATTTCTTCAATGTTTTAGTATTTTGATTTTATATATGATCAGGATTTGAAGACGCAATGGTTCATTTGGTTTGGTAATAGGGGGTAGCTTTGCCCAGTTGCAAAAGTCCATTGTGTTTGTATAGTAGCAACATGATGATTTAAGGATAGTAAAAAAAATAATTTACTTTTTTTTTTTTTTAAACAGTGCAAAAAAGGAACCAATATTTCAGAAACCACCTTAATAGGAGCAGCTGCCTCTCCATCGATATCTTCTCAAAATGATCTGGAAGTTATCATTGTGGGATCTGGTGTCCTTGGCTCTGCTTTGGCAGCAGTGCTCTCCAGAGATGGAAGGAAGGTGACAGTAATTGAGAGAGATTTACAAGAGCCTGACAGGATAGTTGGAGAATTTCTGCAGCCAGGTGGTTATGGTGTCCTTAAAGACCTTGGTCTTGAAGGTAGGTTCATGTTGGTTTTGAGTTCTGTGGTATAAGGAAGCACTGTTGATTTTAGACTACCCTGTCCCTAATAAAAAGGTATTCTATTTTCTTCTTTTTAAAAAAATATATTTCATTAATTTTTTACAGAGAGGGAGGGAGAGGGATAGAGAGTTAGAAACATCAATGAAAGAGAAACATTGATCAGCTGCCTCTTTACACATCCCCTACTGGAATATGCCCTTGACTGGAATAGAATCTGCGACCCTTCAGTCCTCAGGCTGACGCTCTATCCACTGGGCCAAACTGGTTAGGGCTCTATTTTATTTTCATTTAAAAAAGATAGTCTACTCATTTTAAGTGTAATTAAAAAAGTATATCAAAAAACTATTTTGACCTTGGCATAGAAGTGTGATAAAAGTTTTTCTTTAATCAGAAATGAAATTATTTTAATGTACTTTATCTTAACATTGTATTTCAATGTATTTAAACATATTATGTGATGATATTAATATACTTGCTAACGTCCACTTTTTCACATAAGTATATTTTTATTACTGTTAACCATTCTTTTTTGTTATAATTGTATGTCGATGCATAGCATTTTCTTAATTGATAGTTCATAATGTACCTTAACTTTCTAACTTACATTAATATTTAGGCTCTTTTAGAGATAATACTGTAGTGGACCTATTCTTGTATATAACTTTAAAAATTATATTTTTAGGATGAATGACTTAAGTGAATTTTTAAGACTAAGATTACTAGTATTATGTCAATGGATGATAACTTTATGATAATATTGCTTTATTATTTTCTAAAGTGTTATTAGTTTATCCCATAACCAATAATATATAAATTTATCAATTTTCTCTTATCTTACCAGCAATTTTGATAGATTTGGTATTTTGTTTTAATTTAATTTTTAAAAATCAGGTTTAAACCTTTTTCTGATATGTTCAATGTTTCTATATTATTTAATGTGAATCATCTGTATACTTTCTACCCATTGTTATTGGGTCTTAATATTATTTCCTATGGATTTTAATGTGTAAGTTTTATATATAAATATTAATCTTTTGTGATACTATATATTTGTTAAGAGTATCATCTTACAGAAGCATTAAAATTATGAAATAGTTACATGAATGCCTACATACTTTTTTTTTTATATAAATGTATTTTATTGATTTTTTACAGAGAGGAAGAGAGGAATAGAGAGTTAGAAACATCGATGAGAGAGAATCATTGATCAGCTGCCTCCTGCACAACCCCCACTGGAATGTGCCCGCAACCAAGGTACATGCCCTTGACCGGAATCAAACCCGGGACCTTCTATTCCGCAGGCTGACGCTCTATCCACTGAGGCAAACCGGTTTCGGCGAATGCTTACCTTTTTACAGACAGAAACTTTCCATGCCCTCACATTCTATTTGTGCCTAGCATAACTCTGGGCATATTAACAAAATTGATTTTTTTTTTTTAATGGAATTGTTTTGTAGATACAGTGGAAGATATTGATGCTCAGGTTATACATGGCTACATAATTCATGATCGGGAAAGCAAATCAGAAGTTCAGATTCCTTACCCTCTGCTAGAAGACAATCAAGTGCAGAGTGGAAGAGCTTTCCATCATGGGAGATTCATCATGAGTCTTCGGAAGGCAGCTATGGCAGAGCCCAAGTAAGACTATGGCTTCAAATATATAATGTTAAAGAATTAACATATTTAAGTACACATACCATTTTATAAATTTTTGTAAGTGGTCAGATATGGGCTAGATCATAGATCTTTCGCCAAAATGAACCGTAAGTTAGTAGAGTGTTAAATTTTTTCAGTGCCTTTATTAGGAATATCATATAGAGAATTGTTTTTGGAATGACATGGAACTGTTGAGGATTTCCCATTGACTAAATAAATTGTGGGATTGTTATGTGGTTGGAATTTAGAAGATACAGTTATTATGAGAAGTCAGTGCGTATGTGCCCATTGGGAGTTAGGGTTTGTGACTATAACATTTCCTGTTAAGCCAGGACAGAGGTCTTCAAGGGAAAGTCCCAGTTCCACCGTTACAAAGACCTCGTGTGACAGGACTGGCTTCTTTTCTTATTTATTAACTTTAAACGTTGTAATTGAGGAACTTTTAAAATATGAGAACCTCATGTCATCGGTACAAATTTAAGCATTAAAGTAATTTTATCCTTAAGACTGAAAGAATTTCATACCTATGGAACTAGAATATGTTTATTGTAGAAAAATACCCCAAAATATAAAGAAGATTTAAAAAATTAGCCATGATCCTCTGACTAAAATTAACCACGCTGAATAATTTGCTGGATAAACTTCATTTTTCCCATCTGTGTATGAATTGGTTGGGGATATGTTAAGTTTATTTGCATGTAAATAAATTGAGATGAAAATCTAATGTTACTTTTTAAAAACCTTACATTAGTAATGTAGAGTCAGTTTTTAAAAATTAGATATTAAAAACCACACATAATTCTAAAAATCACTAGTGATGTTTTTGCTTTTTATGTCACTCCATACCTTTTTCTCTATACATGTGTGTGCAACCATATGCATGTCCAGTTTACATGGGTAAATTGGAGATAAGGTGAGTTTATGCTTCCTTACTTAAATTGCCCAAGTGAGCTACTATAGAATGTATTTCTTCATTTATCTTTTAGTACGAAGTTTATTGAGGGTGTTGTGCTCCAGTTATTAGAAGAAGATGATGCTGTGGTTGGAGTTCAGTACAAAGATAAAGAAACCGGAGACATCAAGGTGAGGCATCTCAGGTGTTAGCTTCTCCTAAGGTATTTTTCTCTTTCATTTTCTCCTCCTCCTCTAAAAAAGTGGGCTCAGCAAATTGTTACTCAACAAATGGACTGAGTTCTTTCTAAGCCCTGGCAATGGATGGATTTAAGATTGTAACACATTGTCTTTAGTGTACCTCAGAATGTTATACAAACAACTTTGCAAGTAAAGGCCACTATATTAACAACAGTATTAAAAACCAAGTGAGAAATATACACTAGCAGAGAAGCTGAGGGGAACTGGAAGGTGAAAGAAGGATTCAACATAAAAGAAATGACTAAGATAAACAGTTGTTAAGTAAGAAAGGCAAAAGTAAGAGAACCTAAGGAAATAGCAAAAGAAAATAGTTTCCAGAATCTGCTCCTGTTGGCCTAGTACAGTGGTCGGCAAACTCATTAGTCAACAGAGCCAAATAACAGTACAACAATTGAAATTTCTTTTGAGAGTCACATTTTTTTAAACTTAAATCTTCTAAGGGCACTTTTCCAAAATAGACTCGCCCAGGCCATGGTATTTTGTGGAAGAGCCACACTCAAGGGGCCAAAGAGCTGCCTGTGGCTCTCTAGCTGCCGTTTGCCAACCACGGGGCTAGTAAAAGGCTAATCTATGGATTCTTCTGGGCTGCTCTATAGGCTCACCCTCTCCCAGAAATTGTACTCTCAGGAGGGGGAATGCCAGGTAATATAAATCACATACAGACCCATGTGTACAAAACTTCTTCCAAGTCCTAGCCACTGATTGAAGTACTATATAAATTATGAAGTTCTAGAGTAAAAATAATTGGCTAGTCCTTGGAATTCGTAATGAATGGGATTCAGTGTTTTATTGCCTATGCTTGCTTTGTTATTTTCTTCATTGTTTATCAAAGTGCAGCTTAATCCCAGGTGGTTTGGATGATAGAGCTTCAGAGGAAGGTGATCCTCAGGGACTCCAGGAAGTGTCTCTAAAGATTGGGCATGCATTAACTTAAGTCCACATAACAACTTCCTCATTAGTAATACCTTCATATATCCTCTGTAATGTTATCCGGTAACATATTTAAACCCATTCATGCACATTTTAAAAGCATGGTCCTTTTACTGTGTATTTCTAACTGGTTAGCTGAATGTTCTTTATCTTTGTTGTAGGAACTCCATGCTCCTTTGACTGTTGTCGCAGATGGAATATTTTCCAAGTTTAGGAAAAACCTGATCTCCAGTAAAGTTTCCGTTTCATCTCATTTTGTTGGCTTTCTTATGGAGGTACTTACTGTAGGGGTATGATTGTAAAAAAAATAAAAGCAACTTGAAGTTTGAAAATTATTAAAATATTTCATGTTTTTTTTTCTAGAATGCACCACAATTTAAAGCAAACCATGCAGAACTTCTTCTAGTTAATCCAAGCCCAGTTCTCATCTACCAGATTTCATCTAATGAAACTCGAGTACTTGTTGATGTCCGAGGAGAATTGCCAAGAAATTTAAGAGAATACATGGTTGAAAAAATTTATCCACAACTACCTGGTAAGAAATAGGATTTCACTTTTGTTGTAATCTAAGTGTGAAAGCAAATCTCATAAAAGACTCCTCATCTCCAGTCCTCACTAAAGCTGTGTCTAAAACAGGCCCATTTAGTCACATAGGAGTTCACATTTCCAATTCTAGGCAATAAATATACAAAGTTACCATATTTATTGGTTTTCAGATTCCAGAATAAACATATGAACAAAACAATTTATTACAGTTGCAGAATACATTGCACATAATTTACCAGTTTTATCTATTTTTCTATTTTATCTATTCCTTTTTATCTATTTTATTCTATCTTTTCTATTTTATATATTCTATTCCAAATGGAATATTTGTGTGAGTTGTGAAATAGTAGCCCCATCTGCAAGACTTGATTGCAATAACTATACAAATGTATGATGACTATGAATGATGGAATCACCTCGAGTTGTCTGCAAAACCATTTACTCTGTCCTGGATAAATTAACACAACTTGTAGAGAAAAAAAAAGGCAGGCTTCCTGGAGATGCACATTTATGTATATTACCTAATAGGGAGTAAAAATATACACATTTAAGGTTATTGGATCAATAAAATATACTTGTTTATCACAAAAAACTATTAATATTAAGCAAATGAAAGCCAATATGTTTTTACTAAAATTTGTAAATTAGAGGAGAGGTGGGTATTAGTATATGTGAGCTAAGATTCTTTCATAGTATGTATTTTTTGATAATCCCTGATGGAGTTATGAAATTACTATTGAAGTCATAAAAATAGGTATCTAAAGAATAAAAATAGAAATGGTATAAATCTGTATATACAAAGAAAGATGAGAGAATAGGACAGAAAGCTTAATTTTTTATTTCATACCATTCAATACTGTTCTTTTTTAGTATTCATTTTAGATTGTTTTTATGATCCTTTTAAATGATGCTGCATATTTATGAACAAATGTATAAAAGATATACCAATAATAGGCTTGTTTATTTGTGGGCTATGGAGCTAAGTGATTTTGTTTAATTTTAAATTTTGTCTATTTTTAATTTTTCTAAATAGCCTTGGATACTATATTATATTTTATAAAGTATAAATATTAAATTGCTATCATCAAAAACTGAAAAAAATAAAATAAATAAAACAGCCCAGAGATAAGATTGGCATGTGAAAAATGCATCCAACCAATCAGATACACTGGAACTGAACTATGTATTTAAACTAGCACATAAGAAAATCGCCATATTAAAAAAAAATAGTTTCAAAATATTTTTTATATCAATAAGGCATAGTTTTCAGAATAATTATTAATATTGACAAAATTTTAATAGTTTTAAAAGTAGTCTGGCTAGCAGTCTAAGGTCTGTGAATTCTTGAAATATCTTTATACTTAATTACTTAAACACTTTTTTTAGTAAACATAGCCTTCTACTGTTTGTGAAATGTTAGTATATTTCATCTGATATTACCAGAATATGGTGGTGACAATAAATTGTTAATTATGGCAGCTGTCAGTTAACATCTGGAGGAGAGGCAGGTGGTTTTCTCCATATCTCATGTCATATGAATTTGCTTCACTGTTCATCTAGTTTTTTATTTATTTAGCTATATTTCTTTTTACATTAATTTTCTCTTAGATTCCTTAGTCATTCCTTAGCATGAATAACTAAGTGCTTAATAAACACTTTTATTAAGGAAATAATTAGCTTTTTATTTACCACAAGGAATATATGTAATAACCATAACAAATATATAGTAGGTATTTCTTTATACTTGATAAGAAAATGTGATAATTGGTAATTGAAATGCTATAAACCGTTTATTTGGTGGATTTATTGCAGATCACTTGAAAGAACCCTTCTTAGAAGCCACTCAGAATTCTCGTTTGAGGTCTATGCCAGCAAGCTTCCTTCCTCCTTCACCAGTAAATAAACGAGGTATTATTTTATTGGATTTATTTTATAAATGGTATTCCAAATATTCACATTCAGTATTCCAAGTGACATATACTGTACATGGTTAAATTTATGCTGCTGGGAATAACATGTGGGACAGAGAATTGTTTACCATGAATTAACACATTACTAATACCAAAATTAGCTTTAGTTATTATTTAATAAAACAATTACCCATAATTCTGACAATGGACTGGGAATCTCAGAGTCAGGTAGCAGTCAGGAGGTATATCTATAGGCAAATTATGAAGCCTCCTAATCCTATTATATAAAAACCCTGGGTTTGCAACAACCAGGAGGTTCAGCCAACCAGAAGTTAATCCTGCAGTCAGCGCTGGGTTGCAGGGAAAGGCAGTTAGGGGCAATCAGGCTGGCAAGAAAGGGCAATTGGGGGTAAGATCAAGCCAGCAGAGGAGGGCAGTTGGGGCACTGGGTTGCAGGGAAAGGCAGTTAGGGGCAATCAGGCTGGCAAGAAAGGGCAATTGGGGGTGAGATCAAGCCAGCAGAGGAGGGCAGTTGGGGCCGACCAGGTTGGCGGGGGAAGGCAGTTGGAGGCCATCAGTCCAATAAGGGAGGGCAGTTGGAGGCCAGATTAGGCTGGCCTGGGAGGGCAATTGCGGGCAAATCAGGCTGGCAGGGGAGGGCAGTTGGGGCAATTGGGTTGGTAGGGGAGCAGATAGGGGGCGATCAGGCTAGCAGGCAAAAGTGGTTAGGGGCAATCAGGCAGGCAGGCGAGTGGTTAGGAGCCAGCACTCCTGGATTGTGACTGCTGCTTTGGGCTCGATTCCTGTGGGATCGGGCCCAAACTGGCAGCTGGACATTCCCCAAAGGGTCTCAGATTGGAGAGTGTGTAGGCTGGGCTGAGGGACACTACCCTCCACCCCATAAATGTACAAATTTCGTGCACTGGGCTTCTAGTTTTCAGATAAGATTCAATCAAGGTTTATTCTCCTAAATTGACTTCTGATGGTTTTGAGACTATCTACCCTGATGCCTTTCAGCTTGAACTATGCTGTGGCTGGATATAATCTTTCTAGGCCTACCCTCTTTCCTTAGGATTGTACAGACATTTCTCTGTAGTGTGCTGGCAGTAAATATTGCCGTGAAATGTCCATGACCTCTTGTCTCCCCCTGCCTCCCTGTTAGAAAACCTGTTTCTTATGCTTGGATACCTATAGATTGTTTTTTCATGAAAGAAACCTCATAAGTGTCTTGACATTGTTTGATTTAATATTAGATTTGCATGTGGATTTCATGAGGACAGAGATCATAGTCTTTTTTTAAAAATATATATATATATATATATATATATTTTATTGATTTTTTACAGAGAGGAAGAGAGAGGGATAGAGAGTTAGAAACATCGATGAGAGAGAAACATCGATCAGCTGCCTCCTCACACCTCCCACTTGGCATGTGCCTGCAACCAACGTACATGCCCTTGACCAGAATCGAACCCGGGACCCTTCAGTCCGCATGCCGATGCTCTATCCATTGAGCCAAACCGGTTTTGGCAGAGATCATAGTCTTTTTCTCACTGTATTCCCAGTATCTAGCACATATTATATATCCAATAACTACTGATTGAATCAACTCTTGAATTTTTTGCCTCAATCAAATTTAGTCATGATCTGTACCCTTGTTATTTTCATATTATTATTTACTAACTCCCACCAATAACATTTATAAATTAACATATCTATATCTATCTATATCTATATCTATCTATCTATATATATATATATATATATATTTGGTCTCAAGTGATGCTCCAGAATGATGTTATATTTTAAATTACCTCTTTATAGGTGTTCTTCTTTTGGGAGATGCGTATAATATAAGGCATCCTCTTACTGGAGGAGGAATGAGTGTTGCTTTTAAAGATATAAAACTGTGGAGGAAATTGCTAAAGGGCATCCCTGATCTTTATGATGATGCAGCTATTTTCCAGGTAAGAGATTAAATTATTCTGGCACAAAATGTCTCAAAATAGATTTCTTTGGGGGGCCTAAGAAGAATGGGGCGTTGATGGGAGATCTGATGCTGAATGGTTCTTAGGCAATCCTGTATAGGCTTATAGAACCTGACTGGTAACCTGTGAATCTTAGAGAATCTCTCAATTTTTGTATTTAAAGATTAGGTAACACTTGATTGCACATGCCAATTTGCTCATACTGATTGTAAATTTAGTTTCAGAGATATTCTTTGCTTCATAACTCATTGCTCTGAAAACTTTTTGGTAACTGACAGGGCATAATTACTTCTATGTTGACCTTAGGATAAATATCTATTTGAGGGGATTATAAACATTTCTTCCTTACTATATAAGTGATCTTTTTTTTTTTTGTCCTTTCTTACCATATAATAAGTGATCTTTTTCTTTTTTAGGCCAAAAAATCATTCTACTGGTCAAGAAAAATGTCTCATTCTTTTGTTGTGAATGTCCTTGCTCAGGCTCTTTATGAATTATTTTCTGCAACAGATGGTAAGTACAGATTTTAAAAAATATAGTATTGAACTGTAGATTTTTAGTAGAGGAATAGAGAAACATGAGATAAATCCCAGATACCTGCTTCCAGCTGGCCCTGGCCTCTACTCAAGGAGGTGCTGAAAAAAAAATAATAATAAGGGGCTGGGAGCCTGTATCGCTGGAGGGCGTGGCCAGCCTGAAAACAGCCTCATCTAGGCTGGCCACACCCCCTGGGGTGAGGGCTCCCACTGGGGTGCTTGATCAGCCTGCTAATAGCCATCAGCCCCTCACCCAGGCTGGCCAGGCACCCCAGTGGGGACCCCCACCCTGAAGGGGGTGTGGCCAGCCAAAAATGGTCCTCAGCCCCTCACCCAGGCTGGCCATGCCCCCTAGCGTGAACCCTCACCCCATGGGGCCATGGCCGGCCTGCAAACCACCACAGGCCCCTGGCCCAGGCTGTTCCACGGGAAGCTATTTTTTTTAACTTGATAACTTAGTGCTCAAGGGAACCTCCACTCTGATCCAGGACACCCTTCAGGGCAACCCAGCTGGCCCACATCCGTGCACCAGGCCTCTGTATATACTAATAAAAAGGTTAATATGCTGATTAGACTGGGAGACCTTCTGGATGTTCTTCTGGACAAAGCCATGGTGGCAGGGCCCAGGTAGAGGCGGTTAGGGACCAAGAGGGGAGGGCAGTTGTGGGTGATCAGGCTGGTGGGGGGGCAGGGCCGTTGGGGATAAGCAGACCAGCAGGGGGGCAGTTGGGGGTGATCAGGATGGGGGGGCAGGGGCAGTTGGAGGCCAGCGGGGGGGGGGGAGCAGTTGGGGGTGATCAGGCTGGCAGGGGGGCATTTGGAGGCGAGCAGGCTGGAAGCAGGGGTCAGTTGGGGGCGAGCAGGCCGGCACACAGAGTGATTAGGGGCAATCAGGCAGGCAGATGAGCGGTTAGAAGCCAAAGTAGATTGGGAGAGTGATGTCCAATTGCTGGTTTAGACCCGATCCCTGTAATTTTTAATTCCCTTACCAGATGCGTAAGATTGTGATGGAGAGTCTTGATGGTCATGAATTAAAAGGCAATGTAGTTGTTCATTTTATTTTCAAACACTAATTTCCATTTCCCCCCAAATACAATTTTATGAAATGAATGTGAGCTCCAGGTAAAATTGTTTTTTGTCGTCAAATGCACAAGTAGCCTGGCCACTGTGGCTCAGTGATTGTCAACCTATGAACCAGGAGATTGTGTTTCTATTTTTGGTTGGGGCACATGCCCGGGTTGTAGGTTTGATCTTCAGTAGGGGGTGGTCAGGAGTCAGCCAATTAGTGATTCTCATCATTGAAGTTTCTCTTTCTTTCCCTCTCCTTTCCTCTCTGAAATCAATTAAAAAATTTTTTTTTAAATGCACAAGTAGCAGAATGCATCCACCTTTTGCTAATTTGAAATCTTCTGCTTTTGTTTTCATATTCCAATGGAGAGGTGGTGGTCAATCGTAAGGAAAACATGACTTGGCAGAAACAGTTCTAGAAAAGGAGAGAAGGCAAGAGTGCTGCCTCTCAACCACAGCAGTGTACAAATCAGTTAGCAAAACTAGACTTTCAGGTTTTCGAGAGGAAATATAACTCAAATCCATTCCTTCAGATCCCAACACTATTTCTATAACCTGGCCAAGGCCTTTAGTGATCTGTGGTTTGGTGATCTGATTACAAAGGATAATACACTACAAATGCCTTCTGTAGCCTCTATAACCATTATTCTTGCTAAAAGAAGAAAAAAAAATTGATGGTGATTTGTCAAACAAATCTCACTAACTGGTAAGGAAGTTAAATGCCTGGTTGGGCAAGTATAAAGTAAAGAACTCAGTTTTGAGTTTTTCTAAGCTCCGTAGCTCCTTAAAGCTTTTCTAAGCTGCTGTGTTTCTTACATTATGTGTTTGAACCTGTCAATCTGTGATTAAAAAAAAAAAGTTATGAAAGATTGGAGAAGAGCTTATTGAAGTACAAATTTGTTTTTTGTTAATCCTCACTCAAGGATATTTTCCATTGATTTTTAAGGGAGAGTGGGGGAGAGAGGGAAAGACAAACATCAATGTGAGAGAAGTACATCGATTGGTTGCCTCCTGCACAATCCCTGACCAGGGCCTGGGCTGGGGAGGAGCCTGCAATTGACATGAGAACCTAACCCAGGACCATTTTGGTCTGCAGTCTGACTATCCACTGCCCAACCGGCTAGGGCTTATTGAAATACAGATTTACCTACTACATCCTGTTTTATTGGTTAAGAAAAAAATCTAGGCAGACCTAAAAAGAACATTAATTCTAAACTATCAAAATAGATTATGGCTGAAACCGGTTTTGCTCAGTGAATAGAGTATTGGCCTGCGGACTGAAAGGTCCTGGGTTCAATTCCGGTCAAGGGCATGTACCTTGGTTGTGGGCACATCCCCAGTAGGGGGTGTGCAAGAGGCAGCTGATGGATGATTCTCTCCCATCGATGTTTCTACCTCTATCCCTCTCCCCTCTGTAAAAAATCAATAAAAATATATTAAAAAAATAGGTTATGGATTGATTATACTATGTTGTGAGGATTTAATGAGTTACTTTGAAAAGTGTAAAATGTTATACAGATATAAGGCATTATTTTTTATTATTCACAACTATTTTTTTTAACTTGATAACTTCTACTCAAAGGTATGGGTTGGACATCTCAGACAAGGTATTTGTTTTCCAGAATTGTGATTTTATAACAAAAAGAGTTTACAGAATATCTTGCATCATTGAATTTATAACATAATCAAGGAAATAATTTAAACACCTCTCACTTTTGGGACCTATATTTTTGGTAAAGAATATCAATATCCATAATGTTGATTGTGGAAAGTAAAAGAAATAGATTGTTGAGATTTCAGGACCAGTTTTTAAAAATAATTATAGGTTTGATGTGTTACATTTTTATTCTGATATGTCATTAGCATCCTAACATAAATGTATAAATAATTAAGAGTAATTTTTAAAATTTTATTTTAGATTCCCTACATCAGCTAAGAAAAGCCTGTTTTTTATATTTCAAACTTGGTGGAGAGTGTGTTGCTGGTCCTGTTGGGCTGCTTTCTGTGTAAGTTGTTTTGACAAAAAGGAAACATAGTCCAGATTTCCTTAGGATTATTAAGAATTACTACAAATTTTTCTTCCTTATACGTTTCATTATCCATTAGTATGCAAATCAAGATTCCCAGAGAAATAAGAAAAGACAACATTTATGCCTCTGCTTTACTATGGGGAAACAGCATTGATTAGAAGTTGTTGGTAGACGAGGCTAAAAACCTTGATTAAAATAGAAGCTTGTTTTAATCTGTGGGCTAATCAACATTGGTCTATGGATGGGAGCCATGGATGACTGAAAAATTTGTATTTAAAAATTAATTCCACTTAAATGCAGGAACTCAAGAAACTCAATGATAATTTTGACAGTGTAGATGTTGTCTTTTCTTACTCATCTATAATCTGACTCAAGATTACTGAAAGAAAACAACTCAAAAACATACGACTCGTGTATACCAGACTAAGAGCAGTTACTGAATTCTCTGACAGGTATATTCCAAGTAGCTTCTTGTAAAAATATGTTTTAAAAGTTCATCCCTGCCATCAAACGTAGCAGGCAGGCACAAGCTTATAAAGGCCTCTATATGTAGAATGTTTAGCTTTCATATACATAATTGAAATCTTTTCTAGTAAATTTGATTTGTGTCTTACCAAATTTGTTTTGTTTTTCTCCTATTACAGGCTCTCTCCTAATCCTCTAAGTTTAATTGGACACTTCTTTGCTGTTGCCATCTATGCCACATATTTTTGCTTTAAATCAGAACCTTGGATTACAAAACCCCGAGCCATTTTCAGTAGTGGTGCTGTACTTTACAAAGCGTGTTCTGTGATATTTCCTCTAATTTACTCAGAAATGAAGTACTTGGTTCTTTAAACTTAAAAGAGAGGGACCATTTGTGAATGAATATTTGGAACTCACCAAGTCCTAAGTGACTTTCAGAAGAGGATTTATGCAGCATAGTACTATACCACTTCTTGGAAACTCTTGGGACCAAGACTGGAATTAATTTGTTTTTGAATTTATTTGTAAATAAACATGTAAATATATACTTTAATTTGCAATTTAAAATGAAGGGTCAAATAAGATAGTTCAAAAGAAATGATTGTTACCATAAATTAGTGCTAAGACTGAGAAAAGTTTTTCTTTTGAATTCAGTATTTGGAATGAGTTATCGTGGGACATACAAATAAAATGAAGAATGAACCCTTGGGTCATTTTTGTTTCTTATGGACTTCTTTACGTAGCTTCAGTGTGATGGGAAAGAAGATCACAGTGGCATGCAAAATGCAGAGAAACCTGTTCTGACGCTGATGCTGGGGGAAATTGCCTTAAATCTCTGGACCTGATTTTCCTCATCTATCCAGAGAGGGAGTGTAATAAGGTTCTTTTCTGAGTTCTTGGAAAATCATCACATTTATACATTCATACAGGAAAGCAATCAAGGGCTTTCTTTGTAGGTTCACTGTAGAGCATTAATAAGCCAGGCTAGGACTGTTTGAAGAAACAGTGAATGAACCAACAGCACTTGTAATGCCTGGTATAATGCCTTAAAATCATATTTTCCCAAGTTTATGGTATATTTGAAAAGATTATATACTTCTGTGAGTTAATTCCAATATCACTCAAGTAAATGCTCCCCTGAAATCAGAGCAGTAAAATATAACCTGGACTATTAAGTAATGACTTTAGTAGGGCTAAAATCTCATGCAAGCTTTTATTAATAAGGTTTTATTTTTTTTAACTTTTAAGTTCTTTCAGTTGGAAAACTTTTTCTCTGGCCAACTTCACTAGTGGACTCATTTGCATCCATCACTTTGCCTTGATTTAGCAGTATCTGGCTTACTTAGTCCTTTGGTTCCCAAAGTTCTGTTTTCTGTTCAAAAACTCATTTTCTTAGAAGAGATGCTGGAAGCCAGCCCTGAGAGTGTCAGAGTAGATGAGGGACTGTGAGCCACGGACACTAAGAAACTTCCTTGGTCTGCAGTCCACAGATTGTGTGGTCATCGCATTTGCTGGTAGTTTGACTATCACCAGGAGCCGCCAGCCTGTCCTAGGTGTGTCGATAGGACCTACCAGATACATCTGACCTTCCAGACAAGGTGTTTGCACAGTGAAGACATAATTTTTGAATAAACAGGAGCACTGGGTACTGGCAATACTATTTTACTGAAAATCTGGAGTTGCACAAATAGTTCTTTAGAACATAAAACTAAATGAATTTATACGTACATTCAGCATTTGTAAGAGGCAATACAAAAGTGTGTTCTGCTTCTACATGATATAAGTTGCATATAATACCATGATTTAAACAAGTCTATTTTTTCCATGAGATACATCTTAGAATGTCTGATGTTTCCCATGATAAAGGGAAAACATGCAGTTTATATGGGCAGTTGAGTTTCATCTCAATTCATTTTAGTGATGGCGGGAAGATTTAGGGATAATCCTTTCATCGAAGAAATAGAAGAAGAAAAGTTACAGGACCGTTCTGAACTCATCAAAAATGAAATTAGGCACGTGTGCTTCAGCAACCTAAAATAAAAAAACGAGTTAAATTATTCATAGTGTTACTCAGAACACATGCAACATTTTCCATATGAAAACTAAAGCAATGAGGATATCCTTCAGAGCAGGGGGAATCCCCGGAGCACTGGCCTCAAGTGGTGGGCCAGGCCTTGAGACTACACTTCTGGTCCTGGTGTTCTCTATCCTGGTATCTATTTCGGCACTGCTGACATCTCAGGATGCTGTCCAGCTCCCCCTGTCCTGCAAACCTGAACTCTTAAAGGCACTTTAATCTGCGGGAAGTAATAAGGGGTAATATCTCCAGGAAGATCAGGAAGTCTGGCAAGTGACCAAGCCAGAGGGGGATGAAAAGCCCCCCTTTCCTTAGCTGTTCTTAGGGAAACCCCTGAGGGGGAAATGGGATGGGTTGTAGAGCTAGGTACTTATGCTGGAAATTGGTATTTTTTTAAAAGCAGTGCTTAATTTTTTATTTTTTTTATTATAAAGGTATTACCTGTTAATTAGAGGAAATGTAACAAATGCAGGAGTATTAGAATCTGATCTTAATCCCTCAGCTACACTGATAATTATTTTGTACTGCATTCTTCCAGATTACACACACATACACAACACACACACTTAGGAAAACAATTCTTAAAAGGTAAAAAGGGGTGTGTCATTTTTGGAACAGTGGTCATATGTAACTTTAGCTGTGGCGTGAACTTAAACCGGTTACATGGAGAGAACAAACCACACCTGGTTATTTCTCTACCCTGGCACTGAAGAAATTCTCTCCTGGACTGCACTTCTCCCCTCCTGAACTGGGGAAGCTCTGCCAGGGGTGTGGTTTACATTCCGTCTCCTTGCGGATGCTCTTGGCATGGTGGGGAGGGAAGGGCATATTAGACTGTGGGCAGAGCAGTGGTGAGGGCACAGGCAGCCCCTGAGAATGAGCTACTGAGCTTCACTCCTAAGAGTCGGGGCCACTCAATACCACCTTTTTACAAAAAGGGCATAATGCTGATCTTTATATATCACTCACCCTCCTGGGTAGTTTTGTGTACCGAACATAATCCTCCAGGAACAGGAGGGCACCCACAACATCGGCAGGCATTTCAGGGACCTTCTGGCTGTAACGGAACACTCGGGATCAATTAACTGCTTTGCACATGGGAGACCCCCAGTCAGGATACTGAAATACGAACTCAACGACAGATTACTAAACACCGTCGAAGAAACACCTGCAAGAACACCAAGTCATTATTCTGCTCGCCTATCTTAGCATAGAGGATAAACTCCTAGGTTCACAAGGACCCGGCCATCTGTCTGGACTCACCCCTTGGTATCCCTCAGCACTTCCTGGTTCAAAGACTGGCAGACCCCTGAACAGGCCACGTTTCCCCACGCCCTCCAGACTCTGCAGCTACCTTCGCTCTGCATGCTTATTTGAAAGTAAACTTCTAGACGTCTTTTCAGTCCCGGCGTGGATACTTCCTCCCCGGTGCAATCTGCCCTGCTCCTGTGGGCGGATGGCCCTTTCCTTGTGCTCTCAGTGTGCCTGTCTCTCCCCCAAGCCCCTTACATTTTCAGTTGTTCATGTGCTGTCTCCGGAGGGCCTGGGTCATGCCTGACCGTTCTGTCTCCAGTACCTGGGACTGTGCCTGGACCAGGACTGTATACTGGAAGATGGCAAGTAAATACGGCATCTTGTCATTTTCCACATGGATCCTCCTCATGTACTGATTCACAGTTACAGTGCCAGCCCCTCTCTAGAGCGAGAATGCAGCAGAATGCATGATGGCCTTCTCGTGCAGCTTACATTACTTTTATCAAGATGAGTCTTTAGGTATGAGAACTCTTTCCAATTTCTGTACAGACTGGCATTTTCTAAATAAAGAATGCTATGGAAATGGTAAGATTACCAATGTATCTCTCTAATGCTCTTTTGCTTTGAAAAGAATGTTTATGATGATTACAACTGGAGAAGTTCCCACTGCTTTCAAGCTTTTAGGTGTGGCCAGAGCTACACTGATATTTGCCCCGCTTGGAACCAGGGAAGGAAGGTGTCTCCATACACCTCCAGTCCTATGTCACTTCCCTTAGCCGAATCAGAAATCCTGAGCTGCAGCTTGACCCCTGTAACCTACTGACCTCTCTCAGGTTGCCGGGAACACGCCAAACTAGAGCCACTCTTACTCCTTTGTAGTCATTAGCGAGGAAGAAATAGGAAGTGGACCCGCCAACTCCTGACAGACGGGGCACTATGGCTGGGGGTGGGCGGGTGGGAGGTAACTGGAAACCACCTCCCTGGTGCCACCTGAACGAGCCCTTGGCCTCCTCTCCTCTCCCCGTGGCCCTGGGCGAGATGCACCAAATTACCGGGACCTGCCACATTCCTTTGCAATTGCCCTTATTTTGTGATTGTGACAATTTCACCATTGAGATTCCCCCATCCTTCCCAGTGCTCTTCTCTTTCTCAATTGCTAAAGAACAAATTTGCTCTTTGAAAAAGGCTGACCACATGTCCTAGAAAAATATCCAGTGTTGTTCTAACCATGAAATAAGACCGGGAGGACTGGCCTGGTTGAGGCCCACAGGGAAAAGATGGCAGGATTTAAAACGCATATAAAAATCAGCCACTGGTATACAGTGGATGTCAAGGACCCAGTACTGCGACTCTAGGGGCACTGAGGAGGACCTGGAATGAAGGGGTTTTGGAATCTGGGAAAACACACTTTAGGTTGGTCAAACTAGTAACAAATTAGAAGGCAGCGGTGACAGTAACAACTTGTGACAGCGCAAAGGAAGGAGACTGCATGTATTCTGCCTAACTCCAAAGGGTAGAAGGCCCAGTGAATGACGTTTTCCGAGATGGGATGGCATGTTCCGCTTATTGTGTGCAATCAGGAACCTTTTAATGATGAGAACGGCTTTACCAGTGTCCGGTGTTGCCTTGAGAGGTAATGAATGCCTCATCCAAGGGTGTGTCCCATGGAGGCGGGAGACTACCTGCCGGGACACCTGAGAGCTGACTCAGCCTGTGGCAGGAGGCAAAGAAAACGGCCTCCGAACTGATGTCGGAGGGATGGGAAGGCCATCCTCGTGGTCTTTTAGTCACACCGACACATCTTCCCGGTTTGTATGTGTGACGTGACAGAACGTCAGTGAGCCGGGGTGAGCTGTTAGGGTACCAGAGAAGGAGGCCCAGGACCCAGCATCTCACGCAATAACTTTTCGGGGAGGGGGAAGAATGACAGGTTTACAAGCCGTGTGTTCAATAGGAACTGGGGTGTGATTTCTGTATCATCACACATCGGGGCTCGAGCTGTGTGTGCACAGCGTCTGACAGCCGTGCTCCCTGCCTCCCACCGAGGGTGTGGAGCTGTCCCTGGCTGTGGCCCAGCCAGAGCGCGTAGGAGCCCGAGGTCTGAGAGGCATCCCGGCCCTGATCATGGTCCTGACTCATTCATGCAACGTCCCTGTGAGTGTGCCTGGGGCGCCCTGGACAGGAGAGCTGAGGAGGGGCCCACCTTGGTTTCCTTGAAACAAGGAGATGTGCCCTGACTTGCTTTACTGAGCAGCCCATCCCCTCCCACCGGGCGAGGCACTAAGAGGAACCTGGTGTGCCGGGAGTCCTGGCCTCCGTACCTGGTACACTGCTCCACTGTGGAGCGGATGAACTGGCCGATCAGCGCCAGGAACTGCTCCGTGTACCGCGAGTGGAACTGCTTCAGCAGGGTGAGCAGCCCCAGGACCAGCGGCGGCCAGTCCACGGGGTCGGCAGGTTTTCGGCAGACCATTCCTGCAAGGAACCACAGACCCCCAGTTACACTGCAGGCCTCTGGCTGGCCTCTGGTGACGTCCATGCAGTCGGGCTGCTCCTGAATGTCAGTATGTCTGGGCCACACTTTGGAAGGAATCATCACCCCGGACAAATCTTGAATTATACCCGGGATTGTGGAGGCTGCTCGTGGTCTGAAGGATTCAACACGATACAACACTTACTCAGTTTTACAATTACCATCACTCTGTCTTTTGGATTATATAATTACAGCAAGCGATTATAGAAAAATTTAAAGATATAAAAAATATAAATGAGCCTGCCTGGTGTGGCTCAGTGGTTGAGTCACAGTTCAACTCCCAGTCAGGGCACATGCCTGAGTTGTAGGCTTGATCCCCAGTAGAGGGCGTGCAGGAGGTAGAGGCATAATCAGCTGCCTAGACTTTACAGAAAGGAGAGAAGCCAAGGCCCCACACATTTCACAGGTTGAATAATTAATCACCGGAAATAAAGGTGGACTATGGTAGGTTGATATGAAATCCACTGTGCCCGTTTCATGGTGGGGCATTAAGTTTCAGAGGCCCTAAGAGATAGATTTTATGCTAATAAACATATATTTAATTAAGAAAATATCTCATATGTGACATAGCATTCTATGCAAAGAGCTGTTTTGTTAGTTATTGATCTATTGATATCATTACTTATTGAAAATAATATATTCATCTCATACCTAGGTTTTTGTTGTACTGAAGTTTTGGCAATTGAGCGATCAGAAATAGAAAGTTGACAACGGGGAAATAGGGTAGGCGCTTGGTTGTTATGTATATCTGGAAAGAGAAAGGTACAAAAAATGATGTTTTTCTACCCTGCACAATACTGCAGAACACATTTACAAATGGAAGGGTTCCTTCTTATTTCAATTTGCTTTTCTGACCACCTAAAACTGGGAAGTTCCATTCATTTGCAGCCTTCAGAGTTTAACATCACTGGATCCCCGCAAACATAAATACCTACATAACAATTAGCCCTCTGGGAAAGGAACAACTTTGCTGAGAGATTAACAGTTACCCCCCCACACCCACACCCACAATCCTCTGAATGCCATTAACAGAGGGAGGAAGGAAAAGAGTGATGAGCAAGAGTAGGCTGGGAAGGAAAGCAAGTACAAGAGTCAAGGCAAAGCTGGAGGGAAGAGGGAAGAGCGAGAGGGGGGAGGAGAGGAGGCAGAAGGAAAGAAAGCTCCACCTGGCCGCATTTGGCAGGACACACGCAGAAAGCAAGCAGATGTCTCCTGTCGTTTGCTGTGCCCTGGGCGGTGTCACAGAGCAGTCTCTCTCCCAGTTCACCTGGCAGGAGGCAGCTACTCCGCCATCTCCCTCCTCCCAGCAGCCCGAGTACAGGGTCGCGTCTGGCTAGGGAGCAGGGCTCAGACTGCCTGGCTCCACCCTAGCTAGAGAGGAGCCGGGGACAAGATCCACCTCTGAGCCTCGGGTTCCTCCCCCAACGGCGTGTTTCACAGAACTGCTGTGACCCCGAGATCCACCGGGCCAAGATGATCGGGATGGGGAACACAATCCACCTCTGAGCCTCGGGCTCCCCACCAAACAATGGCACATTTCAGTGCTTGGCTGGTTGTAAGTATTCGGAAGATGTGAGCTGCTATTTAGGTTCATAATCTTTTAACCAAAAAACACAGGGGATCATACAGATTTCAAAATTTCACACATTGTAGGTTTTACAAAGGTAACATAGGGCTAGATAACACCCTATAATCAGTCACCAGAACATGAACATTCACAGGAACAGGTGTTGCCACCAGAGGAGATCTGATACCATCTTGTGAAAAAACGTCCAGTTCTCAGAGGATTTCGGAGGTGAGAACTGCAGGAGAGTTTGGAGCCGCAGATCACCATTGTGTTTACCATCAGACACAAAGGGAAACATGGTTGGGCAGGAAGGTTCAATGCCACCGTTTGGTTGCAATTCAAGTCCCAAACCCTGGCCAAACCTAAAAGGAATCTCTTACAGATAGAGCCCGTTTTGCTTCTTAAGGAGCTCAGACAAACACCGTTATCATCTGAGGCCCTCAGCCAGAGTCAGGCAGAAAGGTGTGAGCACACCCTGCTACCTGTGGGAAAAAGGAGCTCAGAGGGGCAGGGACCTGAGTGGAGGGAGGTGCTGGGATCTGAACCCTGGTTCTCCCAGGATTTTGGTCCAGTGACCTGCTCCCCGGGCCAACGCGCCTCTGTGGACCGCTGTCTCCCATCACACCATTTTACATTCTACTCATCAACCTTGTTCAGAGGGTTGTGAATGCCAGCGGCCTCCAGGTAGGCTGTGATTTCATACAAGAGGGTGTTCTCTTCTTTGGGGTAAGGCAGGGAGGGGTCCTGGTAGTGGGCTTCGATGTCTGCTAGGAGAGCCCTGCGTGGGAGAAACAGAGTGGAGATCCGTGTTAGAGACGCCCAGAGGTTTTTTGTTTTGTTTTGTTTTGTTTTTAAATATATTTTATTGATTTTCCACAGAAAGGAAGAGAGAGGGATAGAGAGTTAGAAACATTGATGTGAGAGAATCATCGATCAGCTGCCTCTTGCACACCCCTTACTGGGGATATGCTCGCAACCAACTTACATGCCCTTGCCCGGAATCGAACCCAGGACCTTTCGGTCCGCAGGCCGATGCTCTATCTATCCACTGAGCCAAACCGGTCCCGGTAGAGATGTCCAGAGTTTTACAGTTTTTCAGACTGGATGCAACCTCTTAGGGCCTCAGTGCTCTCCTCTGGAAAACCAGGGCTTGATCTTGCTCCTTCTCCAGTGCCAGGCCTGCGACTGGGTATCCGTGAAAAACTTAACCTCAAATTGCTTTATCTTCTGGAATTAACCCAGATTAAATGCTTTCACCACTCGAGTTTTATGAACTGACTGAGCTGTTTGACCAAGAAGCATGAATTACTGATCTTAACACATTGCAGACAGATCACGAGAATTCTTGTGTTTTCTGTTCTAAGGCTCATGGCCAATCATACTTTAAAAAGATATTAGCTTGGCCCTAACAGGTTTGGCTCAGTGGATAGAGCATCAGCCTGCGGACTGTAAGGTCCCAGGTTTGATTCTGGTCAAGGGCATGTACCTTGGTTGCAGGCACATCCCTAGTAGGAGGTGTGCAGGAAGCAGCTGATCGATGTTTCTCTCTCATGATGTTTCTAACTCTCCCTTCCTCTGTAAAAAAATTAACAAAATATATATTAAAAAAATAAAATAAAAAGATATTAGCTTATAAGAACATGTAATAAATAACTTCAAAATGCAATGGGATATTTAATTTTAAAGCGTGTCTGTAACATTTATGTAAAACATTTTTTGTACTTCTTCAATAGAAAGTTATCTGGCCACTAGCAATAAAACTGCGGGTCTGCAATGTGTTAAGTAGGAAGCTTGACATGAGAACAGGTTGCTGGGAGGAGGAGGATTTATCCAGGATGCGTGCCCAGAGCCACGCCTGGCAAAGAAAACACTCCTAATTGCCCACAGGGCGCTCAGTGACTCAGGCCTGTGGGACGCCAAGTGGTAGCAGTTGACTCTCAAACAACAGGGACCCCCTTGAGCAATCGGAAACCCATGTATAACTCTGGCTCCTCAAAACCTAAATATTAATATTATAGCTTACTGGTGACTAGAAGTCTTTCTGATTACATACACGCTGATGAATACATTTTGTATGATGTATGTATTATATAATATACCGTATTCCTAAAGTAAGCTAGAGAAAAGTATTAAGAAAGTCACAAGAGCCGAAACCGGTTTGGCTCAGTGGATATAGAGCGTAGGCCTGCGGACTGAAGGGTCCCAGGTTCGATTCCGGTCAAGGCATGTACCTTAGTTGCGGGCACATCCCCGCAGTAGGGGGTGTACAAGAGGCAGCTGGTCAATGACTCTCATCGATGTTTCCAACTCTCTATCCCTCTCTCTTCCTCTCTGTAAAAAACCAATATATATATATATGGCTAACAACAACAACAAAAATCTACATTATAAGTGGGCCCAAACAATTCAAACCCATGGTGTTCAGAGGCCAACTGTAATTGCTTTCTCAATCTGTGCAAATACCTAGTACAGTGTCTGGTATATATTAAGTGATCAATATTTGTTGGCTGAAGAAATGAATCCTTCAAGCCACACACACACACACACACACACACACACACACACACACACACACCCAAGGGACAATACTGAGGAAACAGATTTGCTTATCCACAGGAAGGCAGCCTATTCATCAAGAGAGCCTTCTTACCCAAAAGAACTTAAAGAATAGGTACTGAAGAATCTGGCTTTCAAATGCTGGCACTTACTTATTGAGATTTTCCAGGGCGGCTGCCAGATGTTTGGAGTCAAACCGACAAGAGTAATTTAATTCGTTGGCAATTTGTTGTCTCAGAATCTGCATCTGCCCAACCTGTGAACAAACGAGAGAAAGAACAGGTAGGACGGGTCGGCATCTCAGAGCAAGGGTAAGGAGGCAAACACCAAGACAACTTCTCACTGGATCCCATGTTCTACCAAAAAATGGAGGGATCGCTCTCCGTGCTGAGAGCAATGTCACCCGGATGGAGCACGAGAGAGAGCCCAGGCCAGGAATGCCGGGTGGCCTCCGGGGTGCCGACCCCAGCATCGCCCGGGGCCCAGTATTTACAAAGGGGCCGGTGGTGCTCAGCGTTCAAGTGTCAAAGGCGTCAGTTAAGGAGCTCGATGTTTGCTCTCCGGGAGTAAGCTCTCCAGGTGTAGCAGCTGCTAGCAGCAGCCCTACCTCCTTTGTTTGTCTGCATCTAAACAAACGCTAAGGATGCCATTTCCCTCGGATGCTCTCAACTTGGTGAATAGGTATTCCACCTCACTCAGGAATAAACATCATGTAATAACCTGGGTTAGAAAATAATAATCCACATAAAGCCTACCACGAGAGTCCCCTAACGATGCTAACCCTAGTCTAGGGGTCCTTAATCTTGTTTTTGTACCTTGAACCCCTACTGGGATCTGGTGAAGCACACAGACCCTGTCTCAGAATAATTCTTTCATGTGTACAAAATAAAGCATATAGGATGATGGGAGCCAAATGTAACAAAAGGTAATTATCAGACTATTAAAAACAGACTTAGGATACAGTTATGTCAGCACGGCGCATCAACCACTGCAATTCCTAAGGAACAATGAGAATAGATGACCCTGGATAGGTCTATGTTAGGTGATAGAAACTTCTCTGGGGTCTGTTTTGAGAGAGAGTTCAGCCTGCTCCCATAAACTTGTTGGCATCATAAAGACAACAGTATAACTTTCTGTGCCAGTCATTTTCTTATGTTCCATTCTAGGAAAGTAACCCTAAGCGGTTAGTGATGGGGAGCAGGGGCGGGAGGGGAGGCTGTTTTACAAAACCAGCAACAACAAAGGGGAAATGAACACATTTACTCTGAGTTGCTGGGAGCAGAGAAAAATTAAGAAAAACAGACTGGCCTTCTCTACAAACAAAAGGACAAGTTACCGTTTAGGTAAATGGAGCTTGTAACAGTTACACGTGTTAAATGACCTCAAATGTATTGCTTTCGACCATTATTCTTACCAGACTATCATTCTACTTGGGTGAGGGAAATAAAAGCCTATGTAAAAAATGCTATTTATAAGTAAGAAACCGTTTGTTACAGAAGAATACAGGATAGGGCAAGCCTGGCTTAAAAATAATATTTATTTTATTTTATTATTTTATATAATAAGAAAATAGTGGGTACTCGCAAGCCACTTGAAAATGTGCCTCTAACCTTGTATCTGGCCCATCTAATTCCTTGCTTAACTCCAGATACTCTATGTCAAGGGTTCTCTTAAAAGCACCAATCTAGAAATGGATACAAATAAAGTCAGCTTAACATAATCTGTTCTCACTTAAGCTCCCTGAGAAGCCGTGGCCAGCACGTTCTTGTTGGTGCTTCCCCCATGCCTCTCATACAGCACTGGAGCTCCTACCCATTTACTAGTAATTGCCTATTTAGAGATATTTGGATTATCACTTTTGCCATGATTTCTCTAGAAATACAGCAGCCACTAGCCACATGTGGCTATTTAAAATGATTAAAATGAAATAAAATGAAAGGTTCGGTTCCTCGACCTTCCAAAACATGTTAGGTGTTCAACCTCAACACGTGGCTAGTGGCTCTGGTCACTATGGAACAGCAGATTATTTCCAAAGTGACAAACTTGTCCTGGGGCTTTAGGCAAAGGTCACTAGGACACAATACTTGGCTACTGCACACTCACCAGCAATGACCACGAACCGCAGCCCATAACGGACAACGGCCTTCGACCTGCCTGGCCACCAAGTAGAAACAGTCCCAACCTTCCCCGGGAACCCGGCGCCTCCCTCGGCTCCCACAGAGGGAGACGCAGGCCCGTCCGGGCTCGGGCCACTCCGCACTCTGCCCAGGTTTTCCCGAGATCAGAAACCCAAGAAGCTTTCAGTATCCGAAAGTCACCTGGTGCCGGAATGTCAGGCTCCATAACAAGAGACCAAAGGCTCCTAGTGTTGTTGCCTATTCTGTTTGTTTATAAATAAATTAAACACACACACACACACACACACCCCTCACTGAAATGATGGGAAATACATTGTGAATTTGGTCAAGACAACCATGAGTATGGACTCAATGAGCAACTTCTGTCACTGGGAACAAGAGAATGGAACTTTTGCAAATTCCTGTGGCATTCTAGACTTTTCCTTTTAGCCGTGAACTAGTTTTCCTGCAGGAAATCTAGTAGACAGACTGTCCGTAGGCATTCTGAGGAGACAGGTAGCGTTTCTTTTAACTTCGTGTCACCCAACGGCTGACGATGCTTTGTACATAACGAGTGCCAGAAATGGGCTGTCGAATGTCTCCTGTCATCAAGAGACGAGAGAAGGAAACTGGGAAGATTCAGAGCATCCGTCAGTGTCAGGCAGGAGAGCAGGGAACGGATTCTACATGTTGATCTCCATCCAGCAAATTAATCTCCTCATTTCACTTTCCTGTTCATTTCCAGGGACACAGTGTCCTGTTTGCAGTGTCAGGACAATTTATGCCCCAGAGAACCTGGCTTTTAGCATATCTGCAGTCAGGAGGGGAAGGAGATAAACAATTTGTAACCGGACAGAGCAGTCACGGATGCACTTTTTTGTGAGATGGATTATTAATTTCCCATTTCCTGTGTGAAAGCACTTCTTGCCAAAAGGCATTTCAGATAGAAACAGTTTCCTTGAGCATAAAGAAAACCACAGGACAATGAAAAGCACAGTCAAGAACAGCTCTAAGAGAGGAAGGTAAAGAGACAAATAAATTACAGAAATAAAGACAAGTATTTTTGTTTTAATGACAAAAAAAGAGTGGCTTTCTTTGAGCAACAAAATTATAAGAAACTAATAATTAAAAAAACACAGCATTATCGCCCTTTCTTCCACAACATACCTTCATTATAGCCTCCAGGTAAGCTGTCCAAATCTTCTGTGTTTTGGCAATGGCGGAAAAATAAATTTTATTCGAATTTGCTGAAAGGTTAAAACATAATTTTCTATTTAGTGAATGTGGAAAGGTTACAGCGTCAGCTGAACTCAGGCTAGTTTCAGAACACTTACCCACAATGCTTTTGACGGGGCTGACAGCGTTCATGAGGGTTTTTAAAGTATCCTGAACAGTTTTGTCTCTCATGATGATTTTCTGAAACATACTGAGGAAATTCTAGAACAAGAAGAAGACAAAAATCAAAGGACCAAATATAATGAGTAAGAGGAGCAAGTACTCCAGTTAACGAAACGTTCAGCAGCACACAGACTGGCCTATACGCTGTGACCGGGGTCACGGGAAGCAGTCACTCCCGGTTCCTACCTGAAACACCCACTTTTGGGAGGAGCTAGTTGCTGGCTTCAATGAGAAAAAGTTTTATTTTCCCCAAGATGGAACTCACAAAAACCATCTGTTCAAAAAAAAAAAAAAATACTATGCTGGCTGAAAAATTCTAGTTCATTCTCATCCTTACATACCTACATGTCAGTCTCATCTACATGTCAGTACGGGAAAGGATGGAAGAGAAGTCCAGTGGCCGCCCCCATCGCGCCCGGCGCAGCAGAAAACACGCGGGAGGGCCAGAGCTCACCTGGAGCTCCTTCACGATCATAAAGCACAGCAGCCTGTCCAGCCCGTTCAGCCCGAAGGTGCCCAGCGTGGTCTGGATTTCTGAGAAGAGGCGGCTGCTGGTCACTTCTTGGTGCGTTTTCATATCATACCAGGTGTTCAGCTGATCGATGTGACATGTCAGTCTACAACACAAAACACACCCAAAGCCCAGAGGCAGCTGAGGAGTCATCCTTAAGAGACTCCTCAGCCATCCTTAAGAGATGGATGGCTCAATGGCTTGGGGCATCAGCCATGAAAAACAGCAACGTCATGGCTCGTGCTGAATAACCTCTGCCTCTGGGCACCCCGTGTATGCACCTTCATGGTGACGCCCGCAGGACCAGGCAGCACGCTGCATTGCACTCCCTTTTCCTGCTCTGCACTATGTCGCTGGTTGGGCTGTTGCTTGGAGTCATGCCAAGAGGATAAGGTTAGGCTGGGTGTCAGGCTGGAGGACTTGAGGTGTCTCTCTTTGAGGGGTCTTTCTTTAAATTCCCAGAAACGGGGGACAAGTCATGCGTTATCTCCACTCTAGTAAGAAAGAAACTTGGAATCCTATGTAACACTTGAGAGTACAATGACAAGCCACTTCCTCTTTTCTCCCAGTTCTGGTAGCAACAATGACGCCGTTCAGATTCAGGAGTGTGACCATGACGATAAGCAGCCAGTATTTACTTCCAGGCCAGGAGCTGGGCTGAGCTCCTCCGGGCTCTTTTCCTTCCTCCCGGTAGGAGTGGCCCTTTCTTTAGAGGTGAGATAACTGAGGCCCAGAGAGGCCCCATTCCAACATCACACTCTCAACCACCATTTTAATGGCTCCAACCGTGGAGTTGGGACCTTGGATCACTGGTAGACTATGTTACAGCAGGTGGCCAAGCCCACTCCTGGGGAGTCTGACCGGGTAGGGCTGGCATGGATTCCCAGCCCTGCAATTTCACACTCTACACATGACAAGCCCAATTCTAAGAACCAGAATGCGATTTTATGGAAATGGAACTTGGGAGGTAGTAAGAGCTGAGAGCACTGTGTGTGTGTGTGTGTAACTTTGGAAGTCAATGAGAAAAGCAAAAGATTTCCAGAACTGCATACGGAAACCTTTCAGGCTTCAAGGTTGCCCCCCATCACCCAGTGCTGGCACTCTGTATCACTCACGGAGGCTCCCAGCACTGATGACCAACTCAACACTGCCACAAAAGCCCCTTTCCTGCTTAGACCCCCTGTAGCTATTAGTGTGGCTTTAGGGGGTAGTTTTCTAGAAAGGATTTCGTGATCAATTCTTGGGCACCAAGAAAGGAGGAGCTTCAGAAGGCTTAGATCAATTACTCTTAGACAATACTCATTTCTGATGGGGTTTTTGGAAGAAGTTTACGTACTGACAAGGGAAATTTTGAGCAAGTTTTTGTGACTCTATAAACTGTGATCACTGCATGCAAACCTATGTCCTTTGTGGTCTGCCCTAGAACGCCACAGGACTTAAGAGCTGGGTTCCTGGTATGTATTCTGGGTCCACCACTTACTAACTTTGGGATTCTGAGCAAGTGATTATCTTTTCTGTGCCTAAGTCACTTCATTTTTGAAGTGGAAAGAGTAACAGAGCCTACCTCATAAGACTTTTGTAATGAGTAAGTGAAAGAACGCAGATCATGTTCTGGGAAGAGAGCACCAGGTAACTGCTCAGGAAAAGGTTTAGTTCTTGCTATCAAAGCTGCCTCAGTGCGGGCTAAGAAACAAGGGGTCATCTTAAAAGGCCAGGATATGAACCGACAAGTGCGAGAACGTGTGTGTGTGTGTGTGTGTGTGTGTGTGTGTGTGTGTGTGTGTGTATACGCCAAAGCTACTAGGTACAGATAAGCAATTTGTAATTTAAAAAATAATTTGATGCCAAAACCAGTTTGGCTCAGTGGATAGAGCATCAGCCTGCGGACTGAAGGGTCCCAGGTTCGATTCCAGTCAAGGGCATGTATCTAGGTTGAGGGCACATCCCCACTAGGGGGCGTGCAGGAGGCAGCCGATCGATGTTTCTCTCTCATTGATGTTTCTAACTCTCTATCCCTCTCTCTTCCTCTCTGTAAAAAATCAATAGAATATATTTAAAAAAATACTTTTATATACTGGGATGTTCGCTGGTCTAAGCAAGTAGAATGTTAAATGGTGAGTGAGAGGAGGCTAGGTGGCCAAACCTTAGGGTTGTTTTGATCTCTTTTTTTGGACTGAGGAAGATACGTGGTCTCAAAAATCAAATTTCAATAAGCAAAGCTCTGGCCCAAATATATGCAATACATGTGTAGACTTGGTCAAGGCCAGTGGAGTTCAGATGCACCTACTTTGGGTCTGTGATCCGTAAGATTTCTCTGCAGAGCCGACCGATGAACGTCACAGACTCATCCACAGGGGTAAACTTTGGTATTGGAATATGAGTGGACTGGTACATGCTTTGCCAGTCTTGAATCTAGAAAAACAACAACAAAAAATATCTGGTGCATCTTTGACCAGGTAACCTAGGTATGCTTTCCCCACATAGTTTTATAAGGATAACGTTGCATAAAGAGCGACAATGAGCGCTCCTTACTTTCAAAGTCTGTGTGAATAGTCATTCCAAAATGCCATATAAACATTTATTTAAAAAGAAACAATTGTGAGAAAGTAAGATGAATGAGGATAAGTAAGAAGAGACACAGGGACTTGTGGCTTTTGGCTCATGATCTACTATGTGTCAATGTAATAACAAAAATCCAAAATGTCCTAAGGGTGGAAGATATTTAATGTTTCAATGCATGAATCATCAATTCCCTAATTAAAAGCGAACAGAGTAGCTCCTTGTTAACTACTAAAATCTAACTTCTCACCTGTGATACTTAAGAATTTGGTGCTCAAACAACCCAATTAAAAAACAGGCAAAGGATTTGTGTAGACATTTCTTCAAGAAAGATATAAAAATGAAGAAAACAAACAAACAACAAAACCACAGGAAAAGATGCTCAACATCATTAGTCATTTGGAAAATGCAAATAAAAACCACATGAAATACCACTTCATACCAATTAGGATGGGTCTAATATATAATATATATATATATATTTTTAAGGAAAATAAGTGTTGGCAAGGATGTGGAGGAATTAGGCAATTATAACCCTCAGATATTGCTGGTAAAAATAAAAACGGTGCAGGCACTGTAGTAAATAGTTTGTTGGTTCATCAATAAACTACACACAGAATTACTATATGGCCCAGCAATTCCGCTTTTAGGTGTATACTCTGATCAAACCAACTACCCCTAAGTCTTCTGAATTCTCAATCACTTGAGTTATAACAATGACAACTAACGGATTCATTCTGCAGCCATGTAGTCATGTTTTCTCCATAGGACAGTGAACTCCCAGAGGTCAGGCATCATATAAACTCTGAAACCCTCACAGCTCCTGAAGGTACTCTGAAGGTATTTGTGACTTTCTAGTGCTTACTGATTGTTAGTCACTGTTTAAACACACTTTCTTGTTGGCATTTCTGAGGCCTAGGGTATATATTTTAAAAGTCAGAAATAACAGACATAGTTAAGAATTTCAAAATGTATTTAAATACCTTTGTTCTTAAGAAGTTATTACACTCCTGCTCGACATTGTAATTTATAATACGAGATACTTCTTCCTGCCAAATCTTCAGAGCATAAATGTTGACATAGTCCTGAATGTATTCAAAAGAACGGTGAAATCCGTCCATGGTCGCTCCCAACTCTTTCAGCTTGGGCATCAACTCACTTGTCTGTGCAAAAGGGAAACATAAATTCTATCATATTGTAGGAGACTGTCAACCACTAATATCCACACTGGATTTTAAACGATCCCCTAAGAGACCACACTCATAGTTCAAGACAGCCTTGGAAATACTCATTTCCTACCCATCCAGGATGAGAGGTAACCAAGGTCCAACATTCAAGGAATAGATTTCATTCACCCTGGAAGAAAGCCTCATACAAAAGAATATAAAAAAAACTTAATGCTGATTTCTCGCACATTATTTGATGAGTATTTCTATCTTAAAACACTTCAACTATTTTAAGTTGAATTTCCTGATGTGAAATGTACCCTATATATAAATTTTAGGCCTATTTCTTTTTTATCCTGAGAAAAATGACCACATTCCTTAATACACTGAACAAAATAAAAACTTCCTATCTGGTTTACAATTAAGTTCTGTATCTAGAAGAAGTAACTCTGAATTAAAAACATCAGTTCAATTCTTAAGTTAAGGGATCAGCCCTGGCTGGTGGCTGTTTGGATCATCATCCCGTACACCAAAATAGTTCGATCTCTTGTTGGTACATGGGGAGGCAACTGATCAATGTTTCCCTCTCACATCAAGGCATCTCTCTCTCTCTCTCTCTCTCTCTCTCTCTCTCTCTCTCTCTTTCCCTCCCTCCATCTCTCCCTCCCTCCCTTTCTAAAATGAATAAAAACATATCCTCAGGTGAGGATTAAAAAATATTAGGGGATCAACAGGTAAAGAACAGTGCCAATTTTAGAAAGGATTTTTTCATAATATGAATAAATAACCAAAAAGCACACCTACTGATTGTATTGAAAATCAGCTATCAGATATCTGTTAGGAGGAAGGGTCTTGTTCACAACAGTTAAAAGTGAGGCTCTAATCCATTTTTCCCCCAAACTGAATGGAGAGCAAGAGAAAGGACAGACGTAGTTTGGTCATCTGGTACCTTGGCTCGAGGGTTGAAGATCAATCCCCGATGAAGAGCAAAAGCAACACGTTTAACGAGCTCTTTCCTTATCCCATCTTCCAGCAACTGTTTGGGATCCACCTGAGTGCAAACCGAAGAGCAATAAAGGGCAGTGAGAAAAGCCGGCCCGGAGTCCAGAGGAAAACCTGCAGTGGAGCGCTTTCTCCTCTTTTCTAAAGGACTGGGACCCGTTCCCTCCTATCCCTCTGTGACCTTGCTCCGGGGGACAGAATTATCAGGTCTGCCCCTCTTTAAGATCCAGTTTATCTCGGGAAAACTCATGATGATAACTTTACAACAAGACACTTTAAAGGTGGTGGGTGGTATGGAAAGTTTCAAGTTGTTTCACTTTTAATCACTTCGTTACAAGTTAAATTTCCTTTTCTTATCACCAGGAGGGGACAGAATAACAAGGCTGCCATTGAAGTCAGTGCGTTTTTCCTCAGATGTTACCTCAGAGCCTCCGTAGCCATATGGGCAACTCAAGGCTTGGGTTGGATGTTCTGCAGATGGAACAATCCTCTCTCCTTTCAGCACTCTGGGAATGGTGTTGGAAATTAGGGAGATAAAATAGGAAAGCAAATCTGTTCCCTAAGCTTATTTTGCTGATTCTTTGTTTCTATAATGAGAAAGCTTTTGTTATTCCCACAAAGACAGTCTCCTATCAGTTCCATAAACATGAAATCCTTTGGATTCCGTGGGACCCATCTCTCTTTTTAATCTGTAAAAAAGCATTATTTCAGAACGTCATAAAGGTAATTGATGGGTCCCATCTGCATTTGGTTATGTCTAAACTTCAAGGAAGATAAATGCAATGAAAGCTGAAGAATTACAAAAGCCAGAAAAACATGTTGCACAACAGCATGGCTACGCAATCAGCAAAATCCAGACTGGGAGAGACTACTGGTAAGGCCTGGGTTCTTCAATAGAAAAAAGAATAAAGAAACCTGGAGAGTAAAAGAGACGCAAAAGACACAATATATATATTTTAAATGTAAACTACAGCATCGAGAGATTTACTTTTGGATAATAAAACTATAAACAGAGAGACTGAAATTAGGTCAGAGCACATTAGGAGGAGGATGGGGTGGGAGCTGGCTAAATTATGTCTTGAGTGTTGGTGAAAACGAATAATATTTACCTTATAATAACCTACTAAGCTACACAATTGTTTCTGCAGCTTTTAATATTTATGCTTTATATCCCGAGAAACTAGAAACAACAATTAGAAAGGATATACACACCCCTATGTTCATAGAAGCACAATTCATCATAGCTAAGGTCTGGAAACAGCCCAAGTGCCCATCAGTAGATAAATAGATTAAAAAAACTGTGGTAAATCTACACAATGGAATACTATGCTGCGGTAAAAAAGGAGTTCTTACCATTTGCAACAGCATGGATGGACTGGAGAGCATTATGCTAAGTGAAATAAGCCAGCCAGAGAAAGATAAATATCACATGATCTCAGTCATTTATGGAATATAATGAACAACATAAACTAATGAACAAAAACAGATCCAGAGACAAAGAAACATCAATCAGACCGTCAAACCTCAGAGAGAAGGTAGGGGAGGGTGGGGGTAAGAGGGAGAGATCAACCAAAGGACTTGTATGCATGCATATAAGCCTAACCAATGGACACAGACAATGGGGATGAGGGCATGAGTGGGGGGAGGGAGGGGGAGGTGGATGGAGGGGTAATGGGGGAATAAGGACACATATGTAATAATTTAATCAATAAAAAAATAAAAAAAATAAAACAAAGTTGGTGAAATAACAAAAAAAGGTAAATTATAAATAAATAAAATCAATGAGAGTAAAATCAAAGAAGTAATGTGAAGTTCTCAAAGAAATATTCCTCATCAGAACAGGTGTGATAAAAAGAAGTTTAATGCTTTCAGGAATCTAAAGGTCTCCAATGGACCTTCCTGTTCTCCCTAGATTGTCACTAATCTGTGGAGTGTTCACAGCAGAGAGAAAGCCTCCCTCACACACTTCATTCCTCACATTTCTAATCTTTCTTCTAAAGTTAGAAACACGTAAGCATTTTCATATGGATCTTCCAGAACTTTCTCTATTCATTTATAAATATTTGTCCTTAAATACATATTTAATTTCAAAAACCCAAATGGGATAAAACACACACACACACACACACTCACACACAGTTCAGCAATTCACTGTTTTCACTATAATTCCTAGAAATTTTCCAGTGGCAAATTCATTTTGAATGGCAGCAAGGCCATCCACAGCATGAGCACACCCGGATGTGTTCAGCCAATCCCTTACCGTTAAATATTACTTAGATTATTACTATTTTGGGGACTAACTCTTAACAATGTACACATATCTCTGAGTACATCTCACTTGCTTTAAATCATTACTAAAGTGAACTTAAGCTTTTACAAGTGTCTGAAATAGACCCTTAACATGGGCAGGTTCCAGATGGGTAAGGGCCCTGAGTTCTCAGACTGGCAAAGACAGTCCTCTCCTGGTGGCATGGGGTCAGGACGATATGCCCTCTGCTCTTAACACCTGGAAGTGTGGGAAATGACTTACACCTTCCTTAAGCAGTCTTTGTCTTGATAATTACTGCTAAATGTTAGGTTTTATTACCTCCTTCTTGTATGGGTCACCTTACATGTAAGATATTTAATCAGGTCCTAGGATTTATCACTGCTTTATGGATTAGTCAGAAGTGATAAGCTGCATATATAATTTCTCCATATCAACTGAATTCAACTGGCATTAGGACTAAAGCGTGTTTAACGGAGTCTATTAATACTCCAGGGGTACATGGTAGTTCTTTAAAGAACTTCCAAAGATCATATGCTATAGTTCCATATTATCTATAGGTTCATTTCCTCGATTTTCTTGGACTTTATTAACCTGAATGTTACTCTGGGTATTCGATAGCTTTACATGTCATTAAAAATCAGGAATGTTCAGGCTTTACTGCTATCAGATAAACAGAAAAGTAAATGGAAGCTCCTTGAACATCATTAATCACAGGATGATAAACTAGCCCAGCAGTGAGATGCCACTTTATACCCCTTGGGCGAGCAGACATTAGAAAGTGGAAAACAACAAGCATTGGGGGAAATGTGGCTAGAAACAAAGAAGATGGTCATTTTAGAAGGCAACCTGGTATGTTGAGACAAATAGTGTATAAATATGCCCTCTGACCCAGGGACCCACTCTGGGTATGTAGATTTCAGAAATTCTTATACAGGCCTGCAATGGGGACATGCTCCAAGATGTCTGTCCCTTGGGCAGTGGTTATGTAAAATGTGACATCACTGCAGCCGTTTAGAAGTAACCAACTACCTGACCCATAGCAATGGAAATTTATTTCAAAAGCAATACCTAGTGAGAAGAGTTGGAGAAGGAATCAGAGACAGAACACAGTAATTTAGATAAATAAAAAAACACATGCACACATAAAATAACACCACATGCTAAAAAGAAGAATACGTGCATGTTCAGGGACAGACACCAAACATAAAGGGGGGCTCTGTGGATCCCCAGGAAAAGAGAAAGAGGAAAATAAGAGAACGGCTTACTACATGCATCAGTGCTGACAATGACCTGCTAGTGACAATAAGGTCGGATGGCCTCAGCTCTCTGCACCTGGGTGCAACATAAAAATACAAAAAAGGAAAAGGGGGGGGGGGGGCAGAAAGAAAGAGGACTAGCCAGCTATTTTGTCGAAGCACATGAAACCATTTTTCTCTATTATAAAGTCAATAAGATGGATTTTTCTTAGATTTAAGTAACTCTTGGGTATTACGAGAAATAAGGATTATGATGCTCTCTTTTCCTTCATCAATACATGAGTAATATAAAGCTCCAAAGCTGAATGTGAAACAGAAGACACACAAGATGATGATGTCATTCCGTTTCCCGAGGGATAAATACCACTTTCATTCAGACTAAGAGCCTCCCAGACCAACATCAAAGCCGTTACCTTGATGATGCCGACCAAAGTCGTTTTCATCATTAAGATGCCTTCAGTAAAAATGGAAATCGCGTGAGTCAGCTTGGCAACCTTTAACAAAGACAGAGTGGTTAGTGAAGCACTTCCCGTAAAGGCCCATCGTTGGTAGGGAAGGTAAAGTAATTGGCTGGGTCCTGGGATGGGCAAAGACAAATGGAATGCGCGTGTAGCTTTAGGACCCCTCTGGGCACCTGTCCTGGTCAGGGATGAGGCTTCGGGGTGTCACTGAGACATTTTGGAACACTGAGCCTGAAGACATTAAATAGTTCTTTAAGCTTTGTTCAATTGTTTTCCCTTCTTTGGACCTCAGTTTCTCACACACATGGGGGCAGGGCTCAATGACAAGGATAGCCTCTTTCAAATAGAAAAGGCTCATTGAGACTGTAAGCAGACATCTTCCCTTATTGCCATCGACATTGTTTTCAAGCAACACCAGGACACACTGATCGGGCAGACAGACGCTATGCTGGAATAGATGTGGCAACCCCAAGCTTGACACCCAAATTTACGGAGCTGTGTCAGAGGGTGTGAAACTGGCACTGGGATGAAACGTGAGGACCCCAGGCAGCACATTTCAATTTTCACTTGATTTCACTCTTCATGTCAGGGAGAAAGAAAAGCAGAGGTGTTTGAGAATAATCACCTCGGAGGCTGCTTAGCTACTGAGTGGACTCCGAGTCTGGCCGTAGGCGATGTTTGTTAACTGGCCATAGATTATTTCGAGCCACTGGTTGCATGTAAAAGCAGGAATCCGAACATGACAAGTCTTGGCACCCTAGCCCGGGAGACTAAGGCTGATTCACCAGGACTACTCTAGAGAAAAGGGATTAGCAGGCCCCCACTTCCTCCGAGAATACTCAGGCAGGCAAGGCTTCAAAAAACACCGGGACAAGGCAAGAAATGAAGGCATGTCGGCACTACCATAGCAAACGGAGTTAGCACCGAGAGTAGGAACAAACAAATCCGAATTGGCCTGGTGGTGCCTGGGATATGGCGGGTGACACAGACCTTTGACCTTTCATGGTTTAGGTTTTAAGTATCGAAAGGCATGAGTCAAAGGGACAAGCCACCTCGTATCGTGGGCCCAGCTGAGCGTAGTCCCTCAGCTTGTCCTTGTCCAGGCGGGTGGGCACCTCGATGATATCGTGGGTCTGAAGCTTTATGATCTTTAGAAGCGAAGTAAACATGCTTTCTGGAATGATCTGCAAAACCTTTAAGGAAAGGGAAGAGACGAAAAACAATGAAGCACCCCTTTTCTTTTTGTTAGCTGATAATGCTCCGATGACAGGAGGAAGGGTACCAGTGAGTCAAAGCCAGCTGTCTGCAGGGAGGGATGCTGAGGGGCTTAAAGGAGCTTTTCGATACCTGTTCTCAGGCACAGGGCTACCCTCCTTCAATCCTGAACTGCTCACAGGACAGAAAGCTAATCCTCATAGAAATGCTACAGAAAATGTATAATAGCTTTACTGCATCAACTTTTATTTTTTATTTTTTTTTACAGGCTGTTGGATACCTTTAATTAATTAACTAATTAATTAAATTTTTCAATTACAGCTGACATTCAATACTGTATTAGTTTCAGGTGTACAGCATGTTGGATATATATATACTAGTAACGTACACAGTAATCCCTCTGATAATTCTAGTTCCCACCTGGCACCATATAACTATTGCAACATTACCAGCTATATTTCCTGTGCTGCATCATGACAAGCTTTTAAAAGGCCGAGGGTCTGAGATGCTAAGTGACATGGCAGGGGATCACTCAGCTGGTAAATGGCACAGGTCAATTTTGAATCCAGCCTGTGCTGCCTCAAAAGTTCTAGAAACAAGGACGAAAGTTCCCTGAAAACGTTAAGTTGGACTAGGACATGCTAGCTCTAGACCTGGCTCCTTTACCAAGCAGTGCTGTGACTCTGAGGCCACTATAGTCTGTTCCTCAGTTTCTATGCCTATAAAACAGAAGCTGAAACCACCCGCATTTTAAAAATGAGAGTGGAAGTTCTTTGAAAGTAATGACACCTCTGCATATCCACAGTGACCATACACTTATTCTCAGCCATTGCAAATTGCTGGACTAAAATAATAACCAGGGAAAGAAACATGGGTGGGCTTTTTATAGGGTCCCAGGCATACTTTTTGTATTTAAAATAGCAGCTATTTTGCCAAGAAAAGGAATACTACTCTGATGAAGTCTTACCTTTCTCACATAGGACACCAGTTCGCCCGAATAATACTGAGACACACTGAGAAGGTCAGGGCTATTTGCCTGATTAATGCGAAGAAGGGGCAGGTCCAGGGCAGAGGCGAGCTGGAAGAAAAACGATAGATCTGCTGTCCCTGTTTGGAAAAGTCCTAGAAGTCCCTCTTTTTCCAGAGATCGTAACACATAGCAAAGCTCTTGGGCTTTCCCCAAGACAGAGCCACAACTGCTGAGCTTTTCAATGTCATTAATAGTTTCTGACATGGATGTCAGTGTAAACAAAGGGAGTCTTCTGCTGCAGCAGTGGTTCTCAAACTGTGATGCCTGGACCAGCAGCACCAACAGGGATATGGTGGGTGACACAAATCTTTGACCTTTCATGGTTTAGGTTTTAAGTATCGAAAGAGGCCAGTTCTTCCGCCCCACTCAGACTTCCTTAGTCAGACCTCCGGGGTGGGGCCCAGCACTCTGTGTGTGTCACCCCCACACCTTGAGAATGCTCATGCACTCTCATTTGAGAGCCACTGTGCTACCGAGGACAGCTGGTCCTCTGGAAACAGACATTCTGGTGGATGGACCACTGTACTGAGTCCAATCAAAGCTGTCATGCTGTGAGGTGTGCCATTATTTACGTATCTCTCAGAAAAAAAATCAGCCGAGTGGCTCAATTGGTTGAGCTTCATCCTGTGCACCGAAGGGTTGCCAGTTCAATTCCCAGTCAGGGCACACATCTGGGTTGTGGGTTCTATCCCCGGTTGGGGCAACTGATTGATTTTTTTCTCTTACATCAATGTCTCTCTCTCACTCTCTCCCTTCCTTTATCCAAGCTTGTCATTGGTGCTAATTTAAAAAAAAAAAATAAAACAATATTTTAAAAAATTAAATTAAAATTTAAAAAAATAGCTGATTTGGCTCAGTGGATAGAATATTAGTCTGGGGACTGGAAGGTCCGGGGTTCAATTCTGGTCAAGGGCACTGGAAGGTCTAGGGTTCAATTCGGGTTGTTGGCTCGGTCCCTGGTAGGGGGGTGTGCAGGAGGCAGCTGATCAATGATACCCTTTATCTCCCTCTCCCTTCCTCTCTGAAATAAATAAAAAAATATTTTAAAAAATTAAAAAGAAAGAAAACATACTGACAACTATACTACGATGTGCCATTGATGATAAAACCCATCCCCAATGACAGAGATGTTAAATATGAAAGGAAGTGCACCTCAGAATTCATATACATGGTAATTCCATCGGAAATCATTGCATAAATGACTTGTCCATTTATCATGATCTGAAATTATCCTGTGAGTAAGGCCCACGCAGAATCTTTAAAAAATGAATAAGTAATAAGATTTAATTTACATCCAGGGCATAAAAGTCCCATAGGATTCACATTTTTAATATACTGGTAAAACTTTATAAAATCTATTACTTCATTTAAAAATAGTTTTCTGGAAGATGTTCCAACTTATTAATTCACACTTGCAGCATTTCTGGCACTTTTGAAATCATGCTCTCATAGAAATGCTGCTAACTATTTTCAGTCTATGGATTATCCAGCTTTCTAAAAGGATGACATGTTGGGCTGGATTAACGACTGCGGTAACAATGAAGGCCACCTCTCTCCTGTGGCTGAGAATGCGATCGCATGTCTTCGCTTACCTTTAGAAATGTAGCTCTGAGCTTGGTAACCATGGACGGGTTCACCCTTATGCTCTCTTGCATGATAGACGTGAAGCTGTCAAGAGAGATAAGTGGTAAGAAGCTATTCACAGTGGTTTCTCCCAGGGCAGATGCCAGACTCTCCACATTACCTGTCAATCAACTGCCAAGCGAAAGAAAGGTCCCCCACGATGTGCATGGTGATCAGCACCTCCTCCTTAATGTTGATGGTTCGGATCATTTGGTGCAGGAACTTGCGAGTGTCGGCCAGAAACTGACACACCTGCAGGTTTGATTCCAACTGGTGAAATTCCTGAACCTGTGTTACGGAGACAAGTGTCACTTTAAAATCCTGAATGGTCTCTACGGAGTCTGCTTTTCCTTGAAAACACTTCAAATAAAGCACACTACTAACAAAGAGTTCCTTGGCAAACTTTTAATTTCAAATTATAATTTCAGAAATGTGTAGGCCACGTCATAAACCCATGCGCAACTTTCTAGGATTAGAAACTGAGTGGGACTGCATATCTTGTAAATGTATGATTGATATAGTGAGGGACTGCTCCCTATTTCCAGGTTGGAATCAATCAACACGTACTGGAAATCCTCTTAATTCTGAAGATTTGCAGGGTTGCTAAAAAACAAAGCTAGTTCCTTCACAACAAGGTGCTGGCACATGGCATTAGTAAGTTCCTTTGATGTACTCTTTAAAACAAAATAATGATTCCACCGTGTCCTGAATTTTAATGTATATAATTCAAGGGGTCTGGGCTAGAAGCCAGAATAAATAACACAAAAGATAAAAAGCCATCCGAGTTTTACGAAGTTGTTTATAGCTATACCACAGACTAGAAAATCCAAAACCACCAAATAAAAACAGTACAATAGAACAACTGTTTTGGCATGGCCCAGGAATGTAGCACGTTAACAATGCTCGATTATACTTTGTAGCCATTAATAGTGACCATCCTCAAAACCTTGCAAAATTAACAAGCCTATAAGAATGTCAGCCAAAAAAAAAAAAAATCAATTATGTCTTTTAATTACACCAATTAGTCCAATTGGATTGGGTTACAGATGAGTATAGGCGATGTTTTAAAAATAAGAGTTTATAGTTATTGCTCTGATGTTTTACAATGTATCCATTTTAAACCTAGTTAAAATGTACACTTAACATTTTAAGACTGCGATGGTATAATAATTCTTTTTGGTACAATCATTTTTGAGTAAATAAAAAAATAAACTTTTATTATAAGCATATGATTATCTTACAACTATTTCACTTTCCTATTTTTTCTAGGGCATATTCTTTTTATAAATTTAAAAATGACGTACGCAATTTTCTTCTTTTACTTCCTTACCACAATTTTTCCAATGTTTCTATCTTGTTTTCATAGTTATTTTTTCTGAAACATCATGTTTCACGAATATCATAATTTTAGAAACCATTTTCTTCTTGAGGCCACTCAATTATTTCCCTCAATTTATGACATTGTATATGATATTACTGTGAGCAGATTAGTTTGTATTGCTTTTGATAAAATATTTTCTTAGATACACTTCTAGGAGCAGATGGTGGGTGGGGGAAGATACGATTCATGATCCAAGAACTGTCATTTAAAAAGGCTTTCCTGCCTGGCTGGTGTGGTTCAGTGGTTGAGCACTGATCTATGAACCAAGAGGTCACGATTCGATTCCCGGTCAGGGCATATGCTTGGATTGCAGGCTTGATCCCCAGTGTGGGGCGTGTAGGAGGCAGCCAATCAATGAATGAATGTTTCTATCTCATCATTGATGTTTCTATCTCTCTCCCTCTACCCTCCTCTCTGAAATCAATAAAAAAATATTTTGAAAAAGTTGCTAATTTCATGGAAATAAGAGCATTAAAAAAAAAAAAAGACTTTCCTTACCTCCTCCAAAGCTTGTATCAGTTGCACAGTTTTTCTGCCTGCAGCAGTAGAGTCATCATAATTTAAAGACTGTATTTGTTTGGAGATCTCTCTGAACCAAGCTTGAAGATTTTCTATTAATACAGAAAGAAGGAAAGACTACTGGCTTTGAATTAAATTAAATTATCCTTTACAAATCTAGTTCTTACTATGTGCCTACCACTACTCTCAGGAATTATTCAAACTACAAAAATGCCTGGGCCATATGACCTAGACCTGTGGTTGGCAAACTGTGGCTCACGAGCCACATGTGGCTGTTTGGCCCCTTAAGTAAGGCTCTTCCACAAAATACCATGGCCTGGGCGAGTCTATTTTGAAGAAGTAGCATTAGAAGAAGTTTAAGTTTAAAAAATGTGGCTCTCAAAAGAAATTTCAATCGTTGTGCTGTTGATATTTGGCTCTGTGGACTAATGAGTTTGCCGACCACTGACCTAGAAGAAAAGATGAAACTCAGCACCTGGGTAGCTTCGTCTGTAACTCATGGCAGAAAAGGTTTGGGCCCACATATGGTTGTAAAGGGACTCATGCAGAGGTGGCAGGGGCCGTGGGGAGGAGTGGGGAGGGAACTCAAGGATGGGACTGAGGATTATGGGGCATTCTCTGGAGAAGCGAGGACAGGTACAGATCTGGACAGGCAGAGAGAGGAAGAGGATGGCTCATCCCTAGAGGAAGGGACAAAGAGGAACAGAGGCTTCGGGACAAACATGGCAACGGCTCAGCTTGGGGAGAAAGAAGACAGACATGTCAGGAGGGGGCACTATTTGCATTCACTAACCAGCCGGCATTTCCCGGGGCAGAGGAAGAGAAGGGCAGTAACATGCTCCGAGTACCTCAGAGCGCCGGGAAAGCTCTACACCTGGTCTTATTTAATCTTCACAATTCTCTGTGAAGATTTCTATTAATAATGGGCATCATTAATAGAAAATATCTGTGTTTTCTGATGGTCTTAGGCGAACCTGCTAGTGGTTGCAACCCACAGGTTGAGAACCAGTGCTATAGAGCCTAAGACCATCGGAAACACAGGTATTTACATTACAATTCATTAACAGTAGCAAAATTATGAAGTAGCAATGAAAATAATCTTATGGTTGGGGGTCACCACAACTTGAGGAACTGTATTAAAGGGTCGTAGCATTAGAAAGGTTGAGAACCACTGCTCTAGACCTTTCTTACCTTAGGAAGTGACCACCTTTTAAAGCTTTGGTTTCATTACATATAAAGTAAGGATAAAAATGTTTAATCTCACAGGATTGCAAGGGTCAAATGAGAAATATTGCAAGGGTCAAATGAGAAATGAGAAGTAAGGATAAAAATGTTTAATCTCACAGGATTGCAAGGGTCAAATGAGGACCTGTTTGAAAGCAGGTCCTCAGCTGAAATAGGCCATGTAGCCAGAAAGAGCACAAGACATTGTTGTGCTCGGTGTCTGAAACAAGGCTGGTATTTATGAGGACTGGAAGAGACTGGAACAGGCAGGAGTGTGACAGGCCAGGTAACTAATCTGGTTAGACTGTTACAGTGGCTCTTTGTTTCTCAGTCACAAGAGGGTGACCTGCAAAACCTGTTGTCAACTTAAATCACATCATTAAAAACTGACCGACTTTTTCCAATAGCTATAATGATGTCATTTGGAAATATGCTAGTATTTTAGACAACCATTCGGCATCAGATAAATCTGCAAAAGTTAAATATAGTAATCACAAGCTCATACTGAATAAAAATAAAAAAGTTTTTTTAAAAAATAAAAAGCTATACTATTAAGTAATCTTACTATATAACTATTGAAATGGATTTGATAGTTAAAACAAACATTAAACACTAAAAAAAAACGTGTAATTTGTCATTTTAAAATTCAGAGTGGCCTTTCAGGGGCAATTTGAAAGATTCCTAGTTATATAAGAACTAAAGCAATACCACAATTTTCCTATAGATAAAATTTCTTAAATGAAGCAGGATTAAAATCAAAGTTAAAAGTTATGTTTAGTTTCAAAACACTCTGCAGGCTCCTTCTTCTGCCACTAGATGGCAGGCATAACAGTGAAGAAGAACCAAACAAGATCAGAAGATGAGAATCTTCCTTATCATCTATGTTAGTAGTTATTAATGTATTGGGCGAAGTATCCATCTGCGAGATCATGACAGTTACAAGTTCTTTTCTCCTCCCCTCCCAAACACACATAAACTGACACACTAGTATTGCATACTACAGTGGGTGTCTTGGGATGGATTATCCTATATAATAAAAGCCTAATATTCAAATTGTTCAACCAGAAGTTTGACTGCTAGCTATGACATGCAGTGACCACCAGAGGGCAGTGCAGAACATGGTGGGCCTTGGCACTGGCAGCAGGCGGCTGTGGAGGTGCTGCTGGCCCCGATGGGCCCTGATGAGAACAGGACTGCGATGGGATGGTGAAGCAGGTGAGGGGGCAGTACCAGGCTTCAGGAGGGTGTCAGGTGGGGCTGTGGGACTGCAAGGCTGGGGATGTGAGTTGGGGCCCAATCCCTGCAGGCCACTCCAAGGGACCCCACCTGTACACAAATTTGTGCACTGGGCCTCTAGTGATTCTATAAAGACTATGAACCAGAGAGTAAGAACCCTTGACTTAGTTTAATCCTATTCTTCAAAGATAAGAAAGCATACAGGATATGGAGATTGCCTGGGGATCTTCATTAGCAATGTCCTAGCCCACAATGGATGACAACTAAGGACTTTTGCCTCTGCCCATTTCTTCTTCAGCAATTACCATTTTTTTCCACTCTGGTTAGGGGCTTCACTCCCGAGAAGACGTCAGCAAGCTCCGTCATCCGCTCTGAGCCCTCCTTCTTGTAATGCTCCCACTTGGCTTGCTTTTCGGAAAGCATTTGCTTGAACATCTGTTGAAGGGACAGAAGAGATTCATTTACTTAAGAGAAAATCCAGAGTAGGCCATTTGCTAAGAAAGCCTGGATAATACCCAGTATATTAGAAAAATATAATGTCTAATATTCACATTACCCTGCTGACATCTTTTTTTTAAAATATATTTTTTAATATATTTTATTGATTTTTTTTTACAGAGAGGAAGGGAGAGAGATAGAGAGCTAGAAACGTCAATGAGAGAGAAACATCGACTTACTGGGGATGTGCCCCCTACTGGGGATGTGCCTGCAACCAATGTACATGCCCTTGACCGGAATCAAACTTGGGGGACCTTTCAGTCCACAGACAGACACTCTACCACTGAGCCAAACCGATTTCGGCCCTGCTGACATCTCTTAAGCCTGACTTCTTATACAACTGGGAGGGCAAAGCTGGCCCCTCCCTAACTCAGCGTTTCTCAGATCAACTGCACAAGAGTACCCCCTGGAGGGCTTTCATAGTTCCACATTCCTGAGCTCCACCCCTGAAGATTCTGGTTCAGAGGTCTTGGGTAAACCCAGGGATCAGCATTGTAACAGGAAATGAAATTTGGTGACTATTGCTCTATGGTCCTTTTGAGGCAACAATTTCCATGATGCTCAATACAAATAAAGAAAAACAATGATAATATGACTTTCTGACGGTTCAGTTTGGTTGTTCATCTATCTCTCCTACCTCCTACCCTAACCCTTTTTCGTGCATCAGTTTCTGATTCTCCTATAAACCCACTAATTGCAACTGTGCTGCTTCCGATCTTTACATGAAGGTGCATCTCCTAATTTGAGCCCCTTCTCCTACTCCAAATCCCACTATAATTTATGAACCTGTGGGTCAACCTGTGAATGAGTATTCAAAGGGCTCAAAGCCACTTGGTCTGTAATGAAGGCCTCAGGTTGATAGTGTTGTTGCCATTGCTGGCCAAATGGTATTGATGGATCCTAGGCACTCAAAAAGAGGGGGAACTCTGTAAATAATTCTCACTGTTCCTCATCCTATTACTTATTTCATTGATCTCTCATCCTGCCCTATCACTAAGATTCCTCTGCCACTGGCCCCACAAAATTCCACCGAGCTTCCATCTGCAGATGGAGTCTCCCCATTCCATTGCTATCTTTTCAATATTCACTGTGAAAAAATAAAGAATTTCTTAAGAGGAAAACCAGTATTCATGTGCATTTTTCTAGTTAAGAACCCAGGGAAATAAACCACTGTACTTTTGTGGCATTTCCCTGATCTTACAAAGTTATATGGAGACTAGTCACTGAAATCACACAGCACATGCATTAATATAATATTAGGTTAGTCATTGACATCTCCTTTTTCTGAGCGCCTTCACAGAAAAACAGTGTCCTCAGACCTAGCAGCTAAAGAAACATCCAGTCTACTCCTCACCAGACTGAGGCCAGGTTAAATATTGGTTCTGAACGGGCATTACTGTCCCGGGCCAGTTCCTGGGCTCACCTACCTGGCATTCCCAGGTATCTGCAATTGGTTGTTGTTAATCCTCACCTGAGGATATTTTTCCATTGATTTTATTTTATTTTTATTTATTTATTTTTTTGAGAATGGAAGGGAGAGGGAGAAACAGAGAGAGAAAACCGAGAAAAACATGGATGTGAGAGAGACACAATTGGTTGCCTCCTATACATGTCCTGACCAGGAACCCAAGTACAGGGTTTGAGCCTGCAACTAACATACGTGCCCTTGACTGGAATTGAACCTGGGGCCCTTTAGTCCAGGGGTTGATGCTCTATTCATTGAGCCAAATCGGCTACGGCAAGCTGCCACTTTTAACATGCCCAGAGAAGCTTCTTTAGGGATAAGAAGCAGCCCGGAATTTCAGTGAACTCAAACTCCTTAAGAGAGGACCTTGTTCAAATGCAAATCATCTACCCACTTGGCCCTTTGCAACAGGCTATCATGGCTTTTACATGAAGACAAATCCTGCAGGGCCCAGCACAGGCTGGCTCCTGCCCACTGTCCAAGCTCATTCTGTACCTCCTTTCACTTGCATTCTCTCCCCTCCAGTCAACTGATCTTTTCGGTTTTGAGCTGGCTAGGCTGTTCCTCTCCCAGAGGCCTGGGACACAGTCTGTCTTCTCTTTGAAATGTTCTCCAGGTTCGCTATCACTGTCTTAGCTAAATCTGACAGGTCCCTTCTTCAGGCCTTGTCAGAAGCTTCTCTTCTTGGGGGACGTCGTCAGAGCAACGACAGGAGCCTTTACGTGAGGTTCCCAGAGGATGTGTTCCTTTCCTTCAGAGCATGCATCTCAGTGTGTATTCGCATCTTCATTGGGGGAGTCTCTGGGTCACGTCCATACCCCTCACTAGACTGTAACCTCCACAATCCTGTGCATTTTCCCCCTTCACAGAGGCTCCAATGACAGCTGGCACCAAATGCTTGTTCAGTGATTAATTCTGTCCTTTTCTATAAGAATTATCTCAGACAGCGAGATTCTGTAGGCTGAGTCACAGATACTGCTGCTAAATCCCAATCTTTCAAAATAAAAACTAACCATAAAAAAAAACTAAGATTTTGGTGATTATCCATTCAATATTTTTTACCTCTTTGAGTATGAACTCAAATTGTGCAGTATCCAACAGAAACTGGAAGAGGATCTTGGGATTGTACCTCGAGTCTGTTAGGATCTGGTCCTTGATCTGACGAAGGCGTTTGTTGTTTGGGTCACAGGCTAGAATAGAAAAAAGAGTATCCATTTATTAAACGTGTAGAGACTATCTATGGAATATGAATTCTTAAATACTGCCCTTCATTTGAAGTCTTTAAAAGGTAATCAGCAAAACGTGTATCAACAACATGATAAAATTAATTATAAGTACATGCATGCTATGGGAGAAAGTATAACTGAACTGTTAGTGGAATGTCATCCATGATATATTGGTGAATGAAAAGAACAAGCTACAGAATATATTTCCAGATTTTGTAAGCACTTGGGGGTTGATTTATTATCGAGTGTCCAATAGGGACAGGCAGAGCCTCTGACAATGTTTCTTCAGCAGCTGCAGGCAGTACGGAGCCTGGCAAATGCCTCCAGCTGGATAATAGGAGGCAGATGAAGACCACGCTTCCCTTCTGCACATATGACTGAAACACCATAAAAGCGAAATAAGCAGTTACTCTTCCCACATATGACTCACAACCAGATAGGCGGATCATCTGTTTCTGGTAAATTATGACCTTGTGCAATCAGGTCAGACAGTTTCCAGGCACAGAAATGGAAAACAGATGTGGCTGAAGATAAAAGCAGAGGGCCCTGGCCGGCTGCGGTAGTCCCGGGCAGGATGCAAGCCCAGGGAACCACTGGCTCCCAGAGTGTAGGCACAATGTCAGGAACAGGGAGATGAGGCTGAGTCACTAGAAAACCACAGCTTGAGAGGATCAAGTGAGGACTGAGTTGCTTATAGGCTTGAGAAGGTAAGGCTTTGGTAAAGGAGATTATAAGCTGAGTTGATGTAGTAAAATCCTCAAATTAGAACTAGAGTTTATGTAAGACAAACTCAACTAATTAAAAAACAGATCTGCCCTAGCCGTTTGCTCAGTAGTTAGAGCATTGGCCCGAAGACTGAAGGGTTTTGGGTCCAATTCTGGTCAAGGGCACAGTCTTGACTGCAGGCTCTATTCCTGCCCCAGCCAAGCCTGTGCAGGAGGCAGCCAATCGATGTGTCTCTCTCACATCAATGGTTCTCTCTCTATCTCTTCCCCTCCCTTCCACTCTCTCTAAAATTCAATGGAAAAAAATATCCCCGGTGAGAATTAATCAAAGAAAACCCAAAAAACCAAACAGATTACATGATTAAAAGCTTTAGCTATCATATTCACGCTGTGAGTAAGCTATAAACCGAAGAGAGATCTGGGCCAAGAAGCAAAATGATGGAAAAAGCAAAAACAGCTGGAAAGTAGCTCTAGTGAGAAAGGCTTAAGAAGCTGTAGACTTGCCCTAACTGATTTGGCTCAGTGGATAGAGTGTCGGCCTGCCAATTCAAGGGTCCCAGGTTCTGGTCAAGGGCATATATCTTGGTTGCGGGCACATACCCAGGAGGGAGTGTACAGGAGGCAGCTGATCGATGTTTCTCTCTCACCGATGTTTCTAACTCTCTATTCCTCTCTGTAAAAAAAATCAATAAAATATATTTTTTTTAAAAAGAAGCTGGAGACTTCTAGTGGGAAGACAAAGGCTGAGGAGAAATGTCACACATTTTCAAAGATATGAAGGATGAGGAAGTCCAACTACTGACCACTTGCAGGAAGTGGAAACAGAAGGCAGCTAGAGGGACATTCTACCATTGAACCAGGGCTTCACACAAACTGTGATGCTCTGACCTTGATGGCCAATAGGGTTTCAGAGAGGACTTTGACCCAGAAAAGGTTAAGACCCAATCTACCTTGAATGCTCTTGTCTACATAGTTTCTCAACTCAGTGGGCCCATGCTTTTCTATTCTTCCCAAGCCATACTTTTTCTTCTATCATTTCTTCAGTCTAGAATTTCTTTTTTTTTTCTTTTCTTTTTCACTTTGAAACTTATCAAAGGCCAGTCAGCTCCTGACTCCTGAGTGTAGCCTTCCCTGACCACCTCCACTTCTCCACCCCACGCAATGTTTCTCTTTTGCTCTGGACTCAAATCCCACCATCAGTCTGGCTCTTAGTCACTGGGCCAGCCCTTGCATTACTTTCCTATTGCTGCTATAACAAATGACCACAAACTTAGTGGCTTAAAAAGACACAAATTTATTCCTTTACTAGAAGCTCAGTGCACAAAATTCGTGCACGGATAGGGTCCCTAGGCCTGGCTGGTGATCAGGGCTGATCTGTGGGGTGACCAAAGGCGTGTTTGGGGGTCCCCTGCTGGCACCTGCCTTGGCTGGCCTGGGCCCTGTGGGCAGCTCCTGTGTTGAGGGTCTGCCCCCTGGTGGTCAGTGCGCATCATAGCGACTGGTGGTTCTATAGTTTGGTCGATTTGTATATTAGGCTTTTTATTATATGGGATAGTTCCAGAGGTGAGAAATCCGAAATGGGTCTCACTGGCTGAAAAACAAGATGTCAGTGGGCTGTGCTGCTTCTGGAGGCTCTAGGGAAAACCTCTTTTTCATGATGCCATCTTTCTAGTCCTAACTCTCCGCTTCCCTTTTCCTGACTAAGGACCTCTGTGACTGCACTGGACCTACTGGGATAACCTCCTCACTTTAAGATCAACTGATTAGAAGCATAATTCCATCTGTAACCTTAGCCCTCCTACATCCCCCTTTGCCACATAATATTAGACACCTACAGGTACCAAGGATTAGGCCAGAACATCTTTGGGAGAAAGTAGGGAGACATTACTCTGCCCACCACAGATTTATAGATATACTTTTCATATGTATACATCTGATCTTCCCAGTTTGATCAGTGACAAGATCCTGGAACAAGGGAGGTAAATTTCTTCAGATTCCAAACACCTAGCAGTACCCGACGAAGGGGTTGTTCAGGTGGGCACTGACTTGAGTTAGGCACAGAATGACTAACTCAGAAAGCAACTTGATTCTAACTCAAGAGCTAAACCACTTTGCATCATGAAGCAGATCTTAGCTCTGAACGCCTTCTTGTGGCCTTACCTGAGTCTGCTGTGTGGAGCATGAGCCATCGGATGGCCACGTTGCAGTCTCGCAGGCAGTTCAGAAGCCTTGGAATGTTGTCCAGAACCATCTCCTCCCTTAAATAACCTTCTTTCAGAAACTGATGCACTTGACCGTGCACTCTTTCACTGACAGTAGCATATCTGCTTGCCTTTGCAAATAAAAACGTGAGTTACATTTAAAAAGAGAATCACACTGAAATGAATCCCTGAATGGATAAAGACATTTCTATATGAGATGCCTAACATATGGACTGTAGTGGATAAGGCTCTAAGGGGGTTTACTAGACATTTTTATTTATTTAAAATATATTTTAATGATTTTACACTGAGAGGAATTGAGAGGGACAGAGAGTTAGAAATGTCGATGAGAGAGGAACATCGACCAGCTGCCTTTTGCACGCCCCCACTGGGGATGTGTCCGCAACCAAGGTACGTGCCCTTAACCGGAATCGAACCCGGGACCTTTCAGTCCGCAGGCCGACACTCTATCCACTGAGCCAAACCGGTTTCGGCCTAGACATTTTTAAAAAGAGTATTAGTGGAGGGGGGGGGGGTAATGGTAAGATATGTACACATATAATACCTTAATAAAAAATGAATAAATAAAAAAATAAAAAGAGTATTAGACTGCCTGGCCAGTTTGGCTCATTGGTTGAGTGTCGGCCTATGAACTAGGAGATCTTGGTTCGATTCCTGGTCAGGGCATATGCTTGGGTTGCAGCCTCGATCCCCAGTGTGGGACATGTAGGAGACAGCTGATCAATGATTATCTCTTATCATTGACTTTCTCTCTCCCTCTCCCTTCTTCTCTAAGATCAATAAAGATATATATTTTTAAAAAGAGTACTGGATTTAGGATTAAGAGACTAAAATCTAGTCCAGGCTGGGATTAAATATTGGTATGACTTTGGGTTTAATCTCTGCGTTATTGGTTTCTCCAAATGTAAACTGGACCATGTGGTGGTTCCCTCCTATTCTTGTGTGGAAAAGAAACATAAGGATAGAAGCTAAATTATCTGTTCTTCCCATTACTATCAATAAGGAAGTCAGAGCAGAGTAGAAATACTCAGATGATGAGACTTCTACAGACAGATGAAAGCTTAACAAAAAAACACACCCCAGCCAAAACCGGTTTGGCTCAGTGGTAGAGCGTCAGTCTGCAGACTGGAAGGTCCCAGGTTCAATTCTGGTCAGGGGCATGTACCTTGGTTGTGGGCACATTCCCAGTAGGGGGTGTGCAAGAGGCAGCTGGTCGATGTTCCTCTCTCATCGACGTTTCTAGCTCTCTATCTCTCTCCCTTCCTCTCTGTAAAAAATCAATAAAATATATATTAAAACACACACACACACACACACACACACACACACAAAAAAAAAAAAAAAAAAAAAAAAAAACAAAAAAAAAACACACCCCAGTGCATCCAAACTGAATTTGCAGACTTTTGGTAAATTTGATTTGCCCTCAGCAAGACTTAATGTTAAACATCATTAACCTAGTCAGATTAGTTTAAAACTATCATTAGATGTTTCATCAGAAGACTCTGAAGAATTTCTTACAATGTTACAAAAGAGAAAATGCAATTTTGGAAAGAGATTTCAGTAATAAAAAATTAATGCTCTGATGCTGATAAGTATGAAAGCACCACTTTCTCTAATATATTTCTAGGAGACATTCCAGAATTGAAATTATTATGTGCATTATTTATGGATTGCAGTATATCAGAATAAAACAGGCGAGGTCTTTGAATCAATATTATTCCCACATTGGAAATCAATATTATTCCCACACAGGTAGGCTGAGAAAGATGTTCAGAAATACCAAGTATGTTCCCCAATAAATGATTTTATTTTTATTCCTTTGTTGCCTCCCATAAATACCCTGACCAGGGATCGAACCTGCAACCTTTTGGTTTAGGGAACAACGCTCTAAAGAATTGAGCCTTACCAGCCAGGGATACTTTGTACTCTTTATTAAAGAGACACAATATAGCCATTTAAACTTTAAGGAGAGGAATGCCTTTAGTCTTGTTTATCTTACACATCAGAAATGATGAATTTAAAGTACAGTGACAGGGCCTATGTATACATTCAGTTACTGTCTTCAACACCCATCTTGTTGACGACAATATTAAAATTCTGGTTACTAGTAAAAGTAACCAGAACATAAGGACGCAATCTTTATGCAAGAATAAACAAAGTCAGTGGGAACCACATATCACGCTGGTTCATCTTAGGTTGCTGAATCCTCCTTAGGACCCAAGACTCCCATTTATGTGTAAGATACAAGTTAAAAAATCTACAATTAATCGATCTTATTCTGCAAAAATCAGCTTTCATTAATCACTGCATTCATGTTTTTGTGGACGTCTTCCAAATTCCTTGTGAAATCTATGTGGCTCATTTCCTGCCCTATTAATGCAGCCTGGAAGTTGTTTGAGAATCCTCCCGGCTGGCCAGAACTTACCTGTTCTCTGACATTTGCAAGGTCCAGGGTATTGTTTAAAGCAGTTTTTGCAGCTTTGTAAGGTTCCCAAGCATCAGCTAGATTAACTGTGATCCCCATGTAAATGCTAATTACCTGAAAGAGGAGACATTCACTCAGCATTTGCTAAATACCCACCCATCCCACCCACGTCAAGGCGAGGGGCTGGGAAAAGACACAGTTAAGAGAAGACACTGCCCACTCCCATTTTAAATTCCATTCCAATGGAAGTCAATGAGAAAGCAAGATGTTCCAGACACACAGGGGAGAGTTCTTACTTAGGAGCACTCTGGAACAGAAGTGAGAATGTTGCTGTTGTGAACAATAAGTAAAAGGAGATCTTCCTTTCAAAGTGCTGTGTGTTAGATTCCTTGGTGAAGGAAAATGAAAGGGGAAAGAGAAGCAGAAACTGACTAGACAGTGTTCTCAAACATTTTCATCTCAGTCTTTATTTATACTCTTAAAAGTCACTGAGGACTCCAAAGAATGTTTTTGAAAAGCGTGGATTATATCTATTGATATTTATCATATTACACATTCAAACTGAGAACTTCCATTTAAAATAACAAACTCATTACATGTTAGCAAACTTTTTGTATTAAAATAATCAAATTAAAGTTTTCCCTCCAAAAAACTGTGAGGATGGCATTGTTTTACATTTATTTTTGAAAATATTACATACAATGCCTCTTTATCCCTATTAGTGTTTTTCTTTAAAATTCTCTTGATGTCATATTAATATTTTCTCACTGGCTTCTTATTGGTTGGCATTTGCCTGGCATATCTTTTTTTATTCCTTTATTTTCAGTGCGCCAGGTGGATCTGACTTTCCTTTGTACTAAGAGTGTTTCTGAGGATAGCATTACGGCCAACACTTCTTTGTTTAAAACTTTAAGTTTTAAAGTTTAAGTTTTAAACTTTAAGCTCAGGCAAAAGGAGCCAGACTATTAGCATGTTCTTCTCGGTAGCTCAACCCTTGCGTGTGAGAACGCCATTCCCATCTCCTAACTGCAGTCTGTTCTGCCCACCAGTAAAGTCCTCATTTGGGGCCTCATCACAGTTAGTTTGAGACTCTGTGTAACAGACGGCAAGAATTCCGCTGCCTGAGAACATGATCCAACTCATTGTTCTTTGTGAAAACCTCATGAGCAAATAAAACATTTCACATATATTAAGTATGTTAAGCCAGTGTTATCCTCTTAAGAATTACTATTGTAACAATAAAAAGTAATAAGCAAATCCCTGCAGTAAGCTAAATCTTCACAGCCCCATCCGTGTAAGCGTATAGAGAAAACCCATTATAAAAGTGAAATTCTATTCATAAAATGACAAATTAGAGCAATTCTGCCAGCTTAAGTTCATAAAATAAGAATAAAGGCTTGTGTAACTTAGCTGCAATCTCTGTAGCTAAAAAGCAAGACACGTTAAAATACATGGTTTTGCCAGGACCAGTTTGGCTCAATGGATAGAGCGTCGGCTTGGGTACTGAAGGGACCCAGGATCGATTCTGGTCAAGGGCATGTACCTTGGTTGCGGGCATATCCCCAGTAGGGGGTGTGCAGGAGGCAGCTGATAGATTACTCTCTCTCATCGATGTTTCTAGCTTTCTATCTCTCTTCCTTCCTCTCTGAACAAAATCAATAAAATATATTAAAAAAAAAAATACATGGTTTTACCTTGAGAGAGCCCATTTGAGAAAAAAAGGAATAGGTTCAGGAAATTTTACTGGTTGATCTATTCCTTCATGTTATGATTTATAAAATTCTCAACACACAAGTAATTTTACTTAAGTGATTTTTATGTCTCACTATTTACAACATTATGACCTCTGGGTAATAGGCCAAGAGAATGGAAAAACCAGTCCTTTAACAAGCTTCTTATAGAGCAAAAAAACCTAATAGCAATACTTGCCCAATTATCTGGAAAGTATTTATCCACTATCTCTCGCATCTTTGCTTGATGGGTATGGAGAATGGAAGGGTCAAAGTAGAGAATGACATACAGCATGGCGGCCTGAGTTGCCAGGGCCGTGCTGCGGTGCTCCGGCAACGGGTACGCTGAGACCTGCAAACAGGGAAGAGACCCAGAAGAGGCAGCCGTTGGTAACAACCGAACTTACATGCGCCAAATATATGACTGCATTATAGGGAAGGCCGGTCTCTAAAAATCTTTAGAGCATCTGGACTCTGGAAGCAATTCTCCTGGCACTGCCAGCCAGGGCCTTCCTTCTTATCCCGACCACACGATCTGAGGCTCTTCCTTCCAGCCCTCAACCTGGCTGCAATTCTAAGCCTTTTCCTTACAAAAAGAGAGTTGTAACCCCAGGTCTCCCACTGGTTGTCCATTTTGTGTCTTTCCCATCAAACTCTTAGAACTGACAGAATCCACACTGTCTATTGCTATTTTCTCACTTCCTGTTTGCTCGTCAACTCATTGAAATCTGTCTTCCGCCATCCTCTCAACGGGGTTTCCTAAGCTCACTCTTGAGCTCACAATCACCCAATTCAACGCCTCTTCTAGCACTCTCACGTAGGCTCTCTCAGGAATGACATTCTCTCCGCTGGTTTCCCAGGCACCACTCTTCTAATCTGCTTTGTGGGGGGTTCTCCTGCCAGCTTCCCAATGCTGGTGTGTCCCAGCCTACCCCTGCTGCCCGGGGAATCCTGGCTGCTCACAGTACACATCACCGCACGGACAGGAGGGAGGGACGGTTACAAGGACAGCAGAGTGATGCCTCCTGGAACCTGGCAGCTCTCTGGAAGGACCTAGAGCTGTGAACACAAAGCCCTCACTGTTTCTCCTTTTGATGTGTTTGCCCAATGTTTCTCTCTCTCCAGGTTTTCCATAACATGGCAGAATGAGGCTGCTTCAAAGTCCAAGTTTTGCATATTGGGAATAAATCCATGCCCCAAAACTGTTTTTCAGGCCCAATTCCAAATTACCTGGAGATGGAATCTGATTCATCTTGGGTCAAGTGACTGCCCCACTTCTATCAGTCAGGGACAGGGAAGGGCAGGGCAGACAGACAACAGTGGTGCACTGGCTGTTGCTCTAACCACTTGGCTACACTGGCCAGGGCAGGCAGGGTTTCCAGTCCTGCTCATGCTGCCTCCTCTGCCTGGACTGCTCTTACATCCCCTTTGCCACCTGTTCTCTGACATGTGTGCTTTCCTGTAATTTCTTCAGTTGTCGGTCTTTTTTCCTCAGCTACGAAATCACTATACACAGGGGCCACGCCTCCCTCCATCAGCAATGTATCCCTAGCATGTGCACAGGCGCATAACATCCACTTAGTAACTACTTTCCAAATAGAGCTCAAATCCCATCTCTTCCCAGAAATCCTTAATTCTGCCTAAATCAATTTCCTCTCCGATCCCATAGCATAGCTCAAAGATCTTAAATAATTTTTAGCTGCTTTAACTCTTTTGAGGAAGCAAGAAGGGCAGGAGGAATTGAGGAGGAAAGTGAAATGAGGCTTTTAAATGACTAAAATCTTAATGAACTCAATTCCCACCTGGTTGTAAATATCGTCAGATCTTAGTCGACCAATGACCATACTGATGAAGGATGCATTGATAGGCACTCTCTGGAAATAGCTCTCAGGATAGTTGGGTGGTCTTTTGGCTCCTGGTTGGCTGGAATAACCTGTACTTCGGAGCAGCTTACAAATATCATCCATGTTTGAATCAGCAGAAGATCGAGCGGCACTGAGTCACATGGACAATGGGAAGTAAAGGGTCAAACAAACCACACACATCAGAAACTGAGAAGTCCAATGAAGCAGAAGAATTTCTTGATTTTATCTAGTTTTAGATATCACCGTGGGTCAATTTATATCCTTAAGATTCAAAATCATATTTTCAAAAAGCCTATTAAGATACAGCAAGCATATAAGATGGGTTCTTGGATGTAAGTACAGTTCTAGGTCAAGGTCCACTGTTCCTTTTCCAGGGTCTGAATTTGTTTCAGAATATAGCATTTTCCAAATGTAACAAAGCACATATACAGACCATATACAATACAACATTCCAGTGGGGTGGCAGCTTGCATTCCATGATCACCACACATTAATATTGATATAGGAAATGTTAGGAATATCACACAAGAGAGATAAATCAAGACTATCTATAGCCTCATATTAGCTCTGGTCAGGTTTTGACTCCATATGGTTTCAGGTTGGATCAGGTTTTGCTGCCAAAGAAGTTATCTCTATATGTGCCTGTGTGTGTGCCTGTGTGTGTGCGTGTGTGTGTGTATGTGTATATGTGTGTGTGTACTTTCCAAAGCTCTTTGGATTTCAGAATTGCACATAAAGAATGTGAACCTGCACCAATGTTTCATAAATTAAAAAATAATTTTAAATAATCAAGACAATTTAAAGTGGGATATACATTAATTGGTTTTTCTTGTTAAGGGGCACTTTCTACATAGATTTAATCAAAACATCTGTGATTTTCGGGGTGGTTTGGAGTAGGATTCCCTCAAAGAATCTTAGACTTGACAATGGCCTCCAACTGAATGTAGGAACCTCCTCTGTCACAATTCCGAGTTGCATTTTTTTTGTGTCACTTTAATAATGGATCCCCACATTCTAATGAATTAGCTGTTGTACCAAAAGGGACAAAGCCAGATTTTCAAAGCTGGTCTTGAGAAGCAAATTTTTCTCTTCTTTATGTCATTTACCTTTTTTGTTTTTCAAGGGACTTTCAGAAATATAGGCAAGTCCATTCGAAGTTCATTTTTAAAACCACGGATGTTAAGACAGCTCTTGGTCACGCATCTGAGAATGAATTATGCATGTGGGTGGAGTCTCCTCCCACTGATAAAGCTGGAAGGAAGCAGGCCAGCTGAGTAGCTGAGAGTAACTTACTGCTGAGCAGGCAGCAGTCCTAGGTGTCCCCAAACAATCCGGCTGTGGAGGATTGCCCTATTTAGGTTGTCCTAATTCGTAAGTTTGAAAATGTTAATTCTAGTCCACATACCTTTAGCTCAAGTTCCTAACTGACTCCTGCTTATTGACTGTTTCTTCCCTGAATTTTGACTATTTCTGACATTAACTCTGTGTCCAGATTTTGACTCATTAAGTCAACAAACTGAAACCTGTGTGCTAGGTACTAGAATTAGAGTTGGTTGAAGTGATACTCCTTCTTGAAGACACAGCTCTTTGTGGACATACCTAACACATGATCATGACGGGTGCTGTTGCTTGTTTTGTGTTTGTCTCTTTGCTTATATATGGGTGAGAATTCCCTTTCAAGCTGATCCCTGAGTGATAACTTTGCAAAGCCATCAACCTGAAACTGACAACAGAAAATTCATCCATTTCCTTACCTATGACAAGGAGTAATATTTGAGACTTAAAAATAAAAACAAACCAAAGAAGAATATTCATGAGACTTCCACATTTGCAAATTTATCTTTAAGATAAAGAAAATTCAGATTCCCTTAAAAACACACACAACACATCCAAAAACTGAGGTGTTGTCCGTCACGGACATGACAATCTGTATATCTCTAATGATCTATAACATGTCTATAATCTGGGGATTATATGACATCTAATCTATTACGATGATATGAAATATATAGTAACTGCTGTAATTTCTATTGTATCTTCAGAAGAAATTAAGAATCTTCTCTTTTTTTGCATTCTAGATCACACTGCTGCTGTTTGCAATAAAAAGCAGTATAGAAACCTACACTGCATTGTACCAATAGCATGTTTCTGGCACATGCAGCCCCAGCCCAGGAATACCTGTATCGATAGTAAGAAACCAGCATTCTCTCTCTGACTTCCCCTTCAATCTTTTGGTCAATGACCAGCAGCATGACTCCGTACAGGTACAGCGCTTCACACTAGGAAGAGAGAGACAATGGCCAAATTCACAGGAAGACACATTCTCATGGAGGCATGCTGATGATGGTTAGAAAGATCACTTTGCTCCCATTCCTCCTAAAAGCTTCATATTACAAGGAAAATGCAGGTCTTCCCCCCCCCCCCCCAAGGGCTGTCTCACCTTCTGTGCAAAATAAATTTCAACTCAAGAGTGCTAATCTTTCAGCTGGCCTGGTTTTGATATTTTGCTTGGGATATGAATATTATGAACACCTCTAAGCCATCCACTTTCTTAACAGACATTTCTTAAGTGAGCTCTATATACTAGGTACCAGGCTAGATGTCTGGGATGCTGAAGATAAAGAAGAGAGGACTGTTACATGGAGGAAGCTCAGAAACGCTACACAATCTTTATTCACTTGTAATTCTGTTCCAAGTCTACAGTGTTCTACATTCGGACAAAGATCTGTTAGTCAGAAGATAATTATCAGAGAATTTTGCTTCACTTTAAAGAAGGGTACTCTGTATGTACTTGTGACTTACAGGAAAAAGGTGATGCTAAGCTTGCCATTCTCGAACTCCTATCTAAATGGTCACTAGCACTTACTAAAAGTTGTTTCCCATCTTCATTGAGCAGCACAGTTTCTATGGTTTGCTGAATGTAAACACCTTCATTGAGATCTTCCAGATATCTAGAAGATGAAACCCCAGAGCACGTTATTCAATGATAATGAAAACTTGAACAATATCTTTGATGAAGAAAAGTGAAGATTTCTAAAGGTCAAGCAAGATACCAGGCATTCTGATCTTCAAATAATTTTTGAGCTGAAACTCATGGCGATGGAAGCCACAGGTTGATGGTTATGGCTACTCCAAGAAAAGGAATATTCCCTAGTCCCAATTTATGAATTACAAATATCTTAGGAAGTAATGGCATACAAACATGGACTAGTTTAAATAGCTTTTAATTAGTTTTAAAGCTAGTGAGTAATGAATTCTTAAGGGCTGGAAGGAAGAGATTATTGTGTGGTTAGGGATAAGAAAGTATGACCATGAAAATATGTTCCTTTTTTCCACTTTTCATATATAATATATTAAAATATGATCATAAACCATAGGATTGAAACACATTATAAATTAGTATAGACCAACATTATTGTAACACTTTACAAAAGCAAGAAATCATAATAAAACTCTAAGATACTTAAGATGACTAGTGCTACAGGAAGGACAAGACAATTATGCATGATATAATCTAGTACACTGTGGAATAACTCACAAAGATTGACATATTTTAGGATGGCCCTTTTCCCCACCACAATTTATTATCAGAATAAGCTATTACTAAATTAATCAATACCTGTTTAAGTCTACAATGTATTTATGCACACTCTGAAAAGCTAAATAAAATCTGGTCACAATTTCTATGTTGTTTTCACGAAATTCTTCATCTAAATCCTGTAGCTCTGGCTTAGCTTCCAGTTTGCTTTCCCATAATTCTGGACCCTAGGAAGAAAAACACATTTATGGAAAAATCAACAAAAACATACTTGTGGGTAACGATTTCCAAGTAGTCTTAAAAATGTGTTCTTATGGCTTAAAAGTCATGTCAAAAGTTGAAAGCAGAGCAACAGAAAGTAATAAAGATAACAGAAGCCTAGATATAAAATCCCTTTGAAAGAAACTAATTTGAATTGCAATCACAATTAGCATGCTTAAATATGAAATGTGTTATACCAAAGTTATCTTTATAAAATGTGGTTCTATCAATTAGGGCTCCACACAATACCTTTACATTATTTTCAAGTTAGTTGGCTGGTATTAAATTTGGTTTAAAAATCTCTCCCATTTGCCCTAGCTGGTTTTGCTCAGTGTATAGAGCATCAACCTGTGGTCTGAATGGTCTTGGGATTGATTCCAGTTAAGGGCATATACCTCGGTTGCAGGCTCAATTCCTGGCCCTGAGCAGGGCGTGTGCGGGAGTCAACCAATCAATGAGTCTCTCTCACTTCAATGTTTCTCTTTCTCTCCCCCTCCTTTCAACTCTCTAAAAACCTATGGAAAAGTATCCTCAGGTGAGGATTAACAAAAACATAAAAATAAAAATCCCTCCTATTTAACTCTCCATAATGACTTAACTCCTCAGCATCTCATGGGCCCCACAGAAAGCATGCTTTCGTAGAAAAGACAATGGTAAAAATGCTGAGGGGGAAGATTACCTTAAAGTAGCTGAAATCAAATATGATATCTCCATATTTCTGTTGATCGGCTCTGTCTTTTAGCCTGAATACGGCAGGAATAAACTCAGAGAGCCGCAAAAGCTCAGCAATGATGGCATTGCCACAGGAAACGATCCTGAGGATGGCCTGGCCACAGAGGTTGTTCTCAGCTAGGAAGTCCAACATCCTGAGGACCAGCAGCTACCCCGTGTGTGGCCGGTGGGGACGGTTAACCCGCTTCAGAGCTGGGCTCTGCGAATCATTAGTGGAAACCGGGTCTGCTGACAGATGTTTGCTCCATTTAAGAAACTGTATCAAAAGAACAAAATAAATCTCCATTTAAGGAAGAATATGAAACACATAGATATTTTTCTCCCAAACTCCCTAACAAACAAACAAACAAAAATGAGTTCTAATGGGGGGTGAATTTCTTCACATTTTCCATGTGGAAGGGCTTTGATAAATTAACACTCTTGGCCTCTTTTTCAACCCTTGATTCATTTCTCCCCCTGAGGAAAGACCCAATGCGGCTACCACTGAGCTTGGGAGAAGGAATGACTGAGCATGTGTGGTTCAATGTGCCCTCAATTGGGCACCGATTATTACATTTTCCTCCCAGGAAAGTCACTTGTTTTACCTTTGGGAAAAGGTATGTCATAAAAATCCACTAGAATTAGTTGAAGGAACACCTTCAGAAGTGCTTTTCTCACATGTTATGTGCAGGAAGTCCTAGTTATCAAGGGTAATACATGCCTGAGAAAGGCTGTGCAGTGACTGTAAAGATAAGCATTTCATACCAAGTAGTAGGAAAGTTTGATTAGTTATAACTGAAAACATTGTAGCTATAATAAAACCGTTGAAAATAAATTTCTGCTTAACAAAATTTAGGATAAAATTGCAACAATGATGTACTAATTTAATGGACAGAGGAGTCAAAAGTTTATTTTACCAAACTCTGATTTTGGCAACTCAGCATCTTATACTTTACTATGACCAGGTGCATGAAATTTGTGCACATTAAAAGGGGGATTAGAGGAAATAATTTAATATTACTATTTGCCCTCCTTTCTCTATAACAGAAGTGTCAGAAATGAAAAAAAAATTAGTAAAATGTATATGAAAACCTTCCTCCTGTCAGAGTCTGGGGCACACCATAGGACCCAGAGTCAGGTCCCTGCCCATCCACATGCACCTCAAAATTTCATGAGACCTAGACCCAGCCAGCTCACCCGCATTGGGCTAGATCCAGACTCAGCCAGTCCTACCCTTGTCAAGCCCTGCCGGGCAGGGGGCTTAGCTTCAGGTCCCCTGGCCCAGTGCCAGGACAGGTGGGCATGGCCTGAGGTCCTTCAGCCCAGACCAGGTGAGGGGCATGGCTTGAGATCCCATCAAACCCCGCTAGGTAGGGTGCATGGCCTGAGGTACCCCATCAAGCCCCGCCAGGTGGGGGGATGCAGCCTCAGGTCCCCCGTCAAACCCTGCTAGGTGGGGGCTTGGCCTGAGTTCCCCTGACCCAGCACTGGAGGTGCACCTTGAGGTCCCCCATCAAACCCCACTGGGTGAGGGGCATGACTTGAGGTCCCCTGTCAAGCCCAGCCAGGCGGCGGGGGTGCAGCCTGAGGTCCCCTGTCAAGCCCTGACAGGCAGGGGGAGAGGCCTAGTGCTGGGGTGGAGGGTGCAGCTTGAAGCCTCTTGTCAAGCCCCACCTGGCGGGGGCCATGGCCTCAGGTCCCCTGGCCTGACACTGGGGCCTGGGGTGCAGCCTGAGGTCCCCCAGCCTGACTCCAGGGCAGGGGGCACGGCCTGAGGTCCCCTGTCAAGGCCCATGGGGTGGGGAAAGGCATAGCCTCAGGTCTCTGCTGATTGTTTGTTAAGGCTCCTTAAGGGAACTTGGCCTCAGCTGTGGGTGTAGCCATTTTTGTGATGGAGTGATGGTCAATTAGCATATTCCCTCTTTATTAGATAGGATGGGTACCAATGCTGAAGCAATCTCAGAGACAGGTAGCTTCACAGGTGCTAAGACTTAGTTGAGAAAACACAGCATGGAGGAGGATCCAAGATGGCTGCTCAGGCAGACACCTAACCGCAGCAGCACACAACAATTTCAATGGAATACAACTAAAATGTAGAGTGGACATTGCCCAGAGCTACAGGTAGTCGACTGACTGAAAATTCTACAACAAGAAGGAAAGAGAAAACCAGAAGGAAAATCAGAGGAACTGAAAAATTCTAAGGTACGGAGACATGCTGCGCACACGCACATGCGCGCGCGGAGAGGACACAGCCGGAGAGGAGAAGGCTGGGTGCCTGCCTGGCGTTCCCTAGCAGGAAGAAAATAAAAACCCCAGCCTAGGCTGAACCCCAGAACAGGCAGCGCTGAGCCCCAGTCATGGGCCAGACCCTGGGGAACCAGGCTCGGGCAGGGGGAGATGGGGCTGTGAGGCGGAATCTCAGGGGAGCGGCGAAAAGCAGAGCCCCCAGAGTCGCGCACATTGCGTGCAGAGGATGGAATGTTGACTCTGATGCTGGATTGCCATGGCGGTAAGAAACAAAACCTCCGGCGGTGCTGAGCCCCACTCCCGACTGCTCTGAACCCCAGTTCTAGGCCAACCCCTGGGGACCCAGGCTCAAGCAGATGGAGACGGGGCTGTGAGGTGGAGTCCTGGGAGAGCGGTGAAAGGCCAAGCCCCCGGAGTCACGCACATTGCACGCAAGGGAAGGAATGTTGACTCTGATGCGGGATTGCCCTGTAGGGAAGGAAACAGGAGCTCCGGCCGTGCTGGGCACCAGTTTCGACCGCTCTGAATCCCAGTTCTAGGCCAGACCATGGGGACCCAGGCACAAGCAGGGGGAGACGGGGCTGTGAGGCGGAATCCCAGGGGAGTGGCGAAAAGCAGAGCCCCCAGAGTCGCTCACATTGCGTGCAGAGGACGGAATGTTGACCCTGATGCTGAATTGCCCTGGCGGGAAGAAACAAAACCTCCGGCGGTGCTGAGCCCCACGCCCAACTGCTCTGAACCCCAGTTCTAGGCGAATCCCTGGGGACCCAGGCTCAAGCAGAGACGGGGCTGTGAGGTGGAGTCCTGGGGGAGCGGCGAAAAGCGAGCCCCCGGAGCCGCGCACATTGCGCGCAGAGGACAGTCTGTTGACTCTGATGCTAGACGCCCCTAGCAGGAAGGAGAAAAAAACCTCCAGATTGGAGGAACGCAATGAGGAGCGGGAGCCCCTGCCGGACACTGGCCAGCCGGGTGCCAGCAAGGAGCCGGGCGACGGGGCCCCCGGGGGGGGTGCCCCTGGGCCTTCGACCGGTGAGCGCGGGCCACAGAGCCGCGGACGGGGGCAGCTTCCTGGGCAGTGCCGAGCCCTGCATCAGGCTGAAGCCGCACAGGAGCCCGCGGAGAACAAAGGGGTGCCACAGGCCAACCTGCTGAGCTTCCAGGACAAGGAGGAAGAAACCGAAGAAGTTTTCAATGTGAAGAAATCAAGTGAGAGCAAAAGATAGTAAAATTACTTAAGAAAGAATACAAAGAAGATCTTGAAAAATCGAAGACTAAGTCAGAACTCAACTCAGCAGCCAACATTGCAACATAAATGCGTTAAAAAAAAAAAAAAAAGGACAGAATGTTGAAACGGCGGCAGCCAGGCCTAGAGTGGCCAGGCACAAGGCAGTGGCTGCTGGGCCTGGAGCAGCAACAGCCAGGCCCCAGAGCAGCAACAGCCAGGCCTGGAGCAGCCAGACCTGGGGCACTGGCAGCCAGGCCTGAGGCGGAGGCGGCCAAGCCCAGGGTGGCCAGTCCAGGAACACCCAGGCCCGGAGTGGCCAGGCCCGGAGAAGCCGGGCCCAGAGCAGCTGGGTCAGGAGCAGCCGGGTCGGGTGTGGCCAGGCCCGGAGCAGCAGCAGCCAGGCTGGGAGTGGCCAGGCCCGGAGCAGCAGCAGCCAGGCTGGGAGCGGCCAGGCCCCGAGCAGCAGCAGCCATGCCCGGAGCGGCAGTGGCAAGACCCGGAGCAGCTGGTTGTGGAACGGACCAGAGCAACAGAGGCCAGGCCCGGAGCAACCAGGCCCAGAACAGCTCGCTCCTCGCCTGCCTCCACCCCACAGCTGCCTCTCAGACATGGCTGGAAACTTTTGGGGGAACTTGAGGGTCTGCTGAATCAAGTGATGAAGGCTTAGATCTGGATGTGTTAAATCAGTATAGCGCTGGGGTGTTGATCTGTAAGTGCCTTGTGTGGGGCCTGGATGAGGTTGGTTGATCTATTTGGAAATGTCTTTTGTGTGAAGTGTATCCTTGGGTATGTGGAGGTTTTATTGATTTGAGAAAATGCTAAGTAACTGATTTACTATCTGAAAAATTTAAAGTTCTGAAAGTTTAAGGTCTCTTGCCAAAAAGAGATTTTAAAGCTAACACCTTAATTTTAAAGGGAATGACAAGCCCTTCCCACCCAGAATAGGTAATCCAATTCCAACCAGCAGCTATGTTTAAACAATGTGTCCATTTATGCGAGGGGAGTGGACTGACTGTTCTCGGGGAAAGGGAGGGAGGAAGAGACTGAACATAAACTGTGCACCTATGGATGAGGACAATGGGGGGTGGGGAGGGGGTGGAGGGTGGGGTAGGAACCTGGTGGAAGGGGGAAGAAATGAAGAACCTTTGTAATAATATGAACAATATTATTAAAAAAAAAAAAAGACTTAAGTTGAGCTTTAAAAAATCACTCTGGATGGTCTTAGGCGACCCTAACAGTTCTCAACTTGCTGTAGAGCCTAAGACCATAGGAAAACACAGCTATTTACATTACAATTCATTAACAGTAGCAAAATTACAGTTATGAAGTAGCAATGAAAATAATTTTATGGTTGGGAGTCACTACAACATGAGGAACTGTATAAGAGGGTAGCAGCATTAGAAAGGTTGAGAATCACTGCTCTAGAATGACATGTAACTAAATATTGTAGCAGAAGCTGTATTAAATCTTCCATTTGGTTCTACTGGTGCTAGGGATGAAGAAGGTTTCAATGCAGATTGCACTGCCATTTGGCATGGAAGGAAGCTAGAGATCCCACTCAATTTTCCAATTGCCTTTACAAAGCACCCAGAAAAGTGGTAGTTATTTCACCTTTCAGAATTTGGTATGAAACTGGTGTTTAGTTTGGAAAGTGATCCTGGGCAAAAAGACAACCTGCTTTC